TTAATTTCTTTGTTTAAAATGCATTTTCTCGTTCATCTCGTGTAGGTACGAGCAAGGAATACTCGAGATTAACTTTATTCCGGTTATTATTCAAAGCGCCAACGTAATCAATTTGAACAATTGCCCTGCAGCGTATTGGCTTGTGCCACGTAACGCATGAAGGAAGCAATTCCAAGCACAATACAAAATTGTTAATTCACTAATGATTATAATGAAGGTAACTATATTTTGCAGAAAAAATATTTTTTCTAATTTTTACGTGTTTTATAATAAAAATAAACAACATTTAAAATTAAAATATCATTAAACTATTAAAGAAATATTTTAATATTAATTAATAAATTTTACATAATGACGTAAATATTAAGTTAATATTTATATATTCAAATTTTACGCAAGATTGGAGAAACGTTGTTTGAAATATTGCGAAACAAAGTAAATGAATTAATTTTTAGTTACTTATAAAAGAAAAATAAGCTTGTTATTGTAATGCACAAGATGGCAGCGTCTTCATTGAAACTTCAGAGACTAGGCCCTAAGAAATTGTCTTTTCTTTCGTCTTAACTCTGCGACACACAGTGACAAACCGTGTGTTGGTAGCGCAGACGATAATAAGTGCGTACTTATCATGAAATATCGGCGAGAGATTGAGAAAACAACGCCTGGGATTAGATAATTAATTTTATAAATTGGAAAAGTTAGCGGCAGGGTTAAAGCCGAGATTGGGCGGCTGTATGGCCGGCGCTCAAACTTCTTCTCCAGCAGTTGAGCAGCAAAACACGTCGCACGCGAAAAAAAACTAAGCGCACACCAACTTTCGTGCACTTTCAACTGTCTAACACAAACGAATAAATTAACATAGCATCCCAACTAAAGCAGCTTCAACGAGCTTAACTTCGGTCTCAACTTTAACTAAAAGTCTATTCATTTCATTCACTTTACACTCGACGCGACTGCTACTCAAATGTGTTTCAACTTTTATTTCGATTTCTTTGTCGATAAAAGTCCAAATTTACATTTTTAACATCCCAAGCAAGTCTAGACTTTTATTTTACTTATAAGGGATATTGCAATGAAGTTGAGATTCCGGTAGATAAATGGCCGCTAATTGAATGGTTGTTATTTCAGCGTGATTCGATGGCTCATTGTTGACGGTCAGTTAAGCTCATTGTAATGGTCAGGGGACTCATGAGGCACAGCATTGTAGATCTAGTTTTGTGCTTAAATTGTAATAGGCCGCGTGACATAGAGTCGAGGGTAGTTTGTTCAATTTCACTCCGCGAATGCTTCGAACCCTTCACAAACCGCAGCCGCGCGTTAATGGCACATGCCTCAGTGATCCCAAACGCACTAACAATAGCAATAGTAATAATTATTTCTTATATGTAAATTGGTAGCACATATAGAATTATGTTTGAGGGATTATTATAGTAGTAGAAAACCTTTGAAATAATCCTAAATAATATTATAACGACGAATGGAAGTTGATTTGTTTCTTTGTTACTCTTTCACACAAAAATTTGTGAATATATTTTGATGAAACTTTAGATAATTATAGTTTATTCATTAAAATAGAAGTTAGACCACTGTTTATTGCAAAAATCAAACTTAAAATGTATTAAAATTTAGAAATGAAAGTTAGCTGAATGATCTAATCGTAGTAATAGTTATATAATTTAAACATAGAGGGCGGTATAGTGCATTAGTAGCATTTCTCCTCTTTTTAAATTAAAATTGACAAAATTATTGAAAAATTCAAATTAATATTTTAGTAAAAATAATACTTGAATACTGAATAATGTCGGGTAATTTTGTCAACCGACGCGTTAAACTTATTTCCACGTGAGATGCACCTACGTGGACACGTGTTTGACCAATGATTCACGCCAGATTTACGCCGAAACACAAGCTGTGTGTGCCCAGGTTTATTTATCATTGGCACGTCGAAAGGGGTGCCCACGAAGTGTAAGTGCGTCTGCTCCAGCTCGCGCGCGAATTTTCAGCTTAATTTCACAGGTTTGGCGGTTGCGCCGAGGGGATGGACGCGTGTGGGACAGCGCACGGCGCTTTGATGTGTCGTCGTGCGGATCGGTAGCGCTGTGGTGGTGTAGGGGGCGGCGAGCCGAGATGGAAGCGACTGAGTATGCCATCGACGCCATCACTAAACGGCACGGATGATCGACGGCTTAAATGGCAAACCATAATTGTACATGGATGTGTGTATGCGGCAGGATTTGCAAAGCAGCTAGTATCTAGTCTAGTATATCATTTTATCAGGGTCGGAATTAGGTATTTGAAAAATTATTTGGTTTAAAAATCTATATTTTAAATTATTACTTTTTATTCAGTACTTTTCATTTAAAAGTTAATCTATTTTAATATTTGATTATTTAGATATTGATATTGCATTGTTATTAAATTATTTTGGCGATTTTGATGTAAATATTCTCATTTTATTTAATAATGTTGAAGTATCATCGACAATTCAAATTACTATTTATTTATATCAACTAATAGCATAAAATATGGATTATTGTGAGTTTTACAATGTGAAAAATGTTAAAAAAAATTCCATATTATTATTTTAGAATTTAATTAGCTGATTTATTAAGTTTATGATTCAGATTTTTTTTTGTACAAAACAAATTTTAAAAATTATTATAAAATCCGCACCTGTGTGATAAGTCCTACGTTATAATAGACTTTCCTCTCTTTGATCGGTCAACTTTGCATTTCACATGGCAGAGTTGCCCCGATGTCGCATATCGACGGTATAGTTCACAACTGAGAGCACATCGGCGAAAGCAGACGCTTCACTTTGTCCCATCCCTTCGACACGTGCACCCTTAACACCACCAGGCAAGCTAGTAGCATCTAAAGCAACGTTAACCCTTTTGAGCGCACGTTTATAAATAATTTGCATATTTTTAGCTACGAATTTTAGGTTTATCTGCTTTTTATGACAAAATTTTTTACAAAAAATTACTTTGTTGGCACATAAAATGTCTAAAAATTGTGCATTTGACCGTAACGCACGCGTCGATTATTTTATATTTTGCCACCGAAGCGTGTAGCGTATGCACACGTTTCTAAAAATACGGAATCGGTTAATTCCATTGTCATCACACGTTGGACGTTAATTAGGCATGCGTCGCGCGTTTTGTGACAAACAAAGCAAACGAAGTAAGCGAAGCAGTATAAAAAAAGGGTGTAGTGTAGATTTTAGGGCTTTGTTCCTATTTTTATTTGCGCGCACACCGCATAGTTTTCGTGGTCTGGACCCGCTGCGGCAATTTTATTTTTGCACCAAAGCAAAGCGCTTGAACTCCAAGTAAGCGGAGACTCACCGCTCAAAGGCGCATGCAGAAAATGAAAAAATAAACTATAAAGGCAAGCGCTTTATGCCCGATTGAACCAACAATCGACAAAGTTATCAATCGATTTGACCGTAGTGCTCGTGCTCGATCACTTTGACTTCTAAAATCGCTTTGAAAAATTTATTAGCAAAGCGTTATTTGAAGTGCGCGTGCGCATCATGCAATATTATACAATAATTTCGCAGTGTTTGCTTCACTGAAAATATAAAAAATGAATCTGTACGAATAAAAAGTTATGTGTCTTGTAAAATATTTGTTTGTGACAAAATATTCCGATGTTTAAATTACCATAAAACAAGGAAAAAGTTTGTTTTCATATCCAGGCTGAAACCTCCCCGTCGCACATATGTATTTAAAAGCCGGCGCATCAATTCAAACGCTCTCTATCTGTATTCATTCACGATTCTAATTCTCATTCTCTTTTCGGAATTCCGGCATTTGCATGCGAAAAGTTGGCGCAGTTTGCTCAATCGTCGGTTGCGCGTTCCACCTTTCACACGCGAAACGAAAGCTTGGCAAACGAAAACAGTTCGGTTCGCGGCCAAAGAAGTTCTGCACAAACTTCCGTCGGCAAAGAATCGAACCGTCGGCGAAAAGGAAGCCCACACTTTACACGAACGTGTTGCTCCCGAAACGAAACGGCGCGAGCACGAATTGCTTTCCACCGAAACGCTCAGCGAGTTTTCGCTACTTTAATGGGCTATTGATGCGGTTCAATGCAACCCGCGACCCGATTTCCGAACCGTTCGTAAATTCACACAATGGAACTTCTGTGCGCGAACTGCGCGCTATAATAGCACTAGAATAAAAAAGATAAAAACTTAGATCCTGGAAACGTGAAAGAATTTTATAAGTAATAAAGCGGATTAAATGATTTTCATCAATATAAACTTCCAATTTTTTTTTGATCCGTCAGCGATCAGTTTATTAGTTTTATTGGTGATAAACCCAACTAGACGTCATTTTTATTTTATTTTTTCATATAAATTTGGTAAAAATTTCATATAAAGTAATAAAAATTCAGGAAATATATATTTTTAAAAGTTTACCTTTGTATAAATGTGAAGGTGCCGGGCATTTATGTTTTATTTCTTTTTTACAATTTTTATTATGTTGTAAGCTGGTGAAAAGCCTCTATAAAATAACAACTCCAGCACAATACGGAACAGAAAACACAAGATAACAATATTTGCAGTCAGTTGCATGATTTCGGTCGACTTTGAGCCACTCGAAAGCTTGAAGTCGCTGCTAAGCACTTTCGACTCAAGTTGCGAAACAACCATTCCTTGAGTGTTCTAGTATTTTTTATTCTTTTAAGAAATCTCCGCTGGCAAAAATAAATCGCAAGTTGGGCAAATTTTTGTTTGTGTTTATGTTTACATTTTGCTTGTGATGTTTTATAATAGAACGTAATATAATGCTCATTCAGGTGTGATACATCAGGCGCGTAATGCTGTCGGAGTTCCTTTGTCGGTTCAACAAAGTGGCAAATTTCACGGTGCGTCATTCCGTCGATAATGCGATTATCTCCGCGAGCGGAAAAACTTGGCTTATTATTCTTTTCAACGTCGAGCGTTTGTCGAGCGCTTGCGTGCTTGTGGTATGGGGCGTTATTTTCGAGGGCGGCGCGCATTTCCTTCGTGGATGACGGAGGGTTAATTGAATCAAACGCGCGCGATACGTCGTCACACACGCTTCAAACGAACGAAATGAAACTTCAAAGCAGCCATTCAATATATACTCGACTTTTCTAGTAAGTAGACGGTTTTATTAGAGCTTTATTAAATATGAAAATAGTTTACGTTATTTATTATATCGAAGGCATAAGTTGTCGTGTTGAAATTTAAATTTAATTCAATAACTTACAAAAGTAAATCCTTTTTGGGTTTTTAATTTTAAAAAAATGTTTTTGAGCTTTTTGCAAATGCAAATGCAACAATTGTTGCATGCAAAAATCAATTAATTATTGGGAAATAAAATAAATAAAGATATTTTCTATTAAATGACCAGTTTATTAAACCGTGAATATTTGAATCATTTCACGAAGTAAATTTTATTTCAACACGACAATTTCATGCCATAAAATAAAGCTCATAAATTTTCGATAGGTTAAAAATCGAACTGCATTGAAATAAAGTTAAATTCAGCGCAATGCCCACGTTAAATAAATTAGAAAATAATTACACCCCACAAGCTGTTGACGTGGTAAGCGGGGTGACCAAAAACCACCAAACAACCCTATTTTAAAATACATACTTACAAATATTGATATACGCATGCATATGAATAAATATGAGTGTTTTAAACGTTTAAAATCAATATACGCAATGGGTTAATAATTTTCGTGTTACACTCTGTATAAGCGTATATATAAATTCCGGGACTCCAGCACGACCCGGACCGTAACAATTTCGTTCGATGGGTCACGGGTGCCGGCGGAGCACGTGGGGTTATGGCCCGACGTAAAAAGGGTAACAGCTTCGAGGCGTTAAATTGAAAATAAATGTAACGTTATACACATTTAAATATCGCCGGAGGCGGCGAATTCAAAGCGCTTTACTATAAAACACCCAAAGCAAAAAAAAACGGGTACAACTCACGTAACTAAATAATCACAGTTGATGTAATCGAATTTTCCAAAAAAAGTATTTCAAAAATATCCTAGATTATTGATTTGATATCAATAGAGAGAGTCTTGAAACGTGCGCCTGCAACATAATAGTTTTATTATTTCATTAGAAATCCTATTATTGGGTTATGTATTCGCTCCTGTGGGACGCATACGCGAATACCGCGTGATGGAGGTTGACTGCGCTCCCCGACGACTACTAACCCAGTTTTCCCAAGGAGCGTTCGCGTCGCGACAAGGACAAGCAAGGATTCTAATGCCTCGTGTGGCCGTGTGTTGTCTTGTCGTCGGCCAACCGTCACTTTGTTTTGCATTCTTACACAACATAGATAATGTATGCGATATATTTATAAACACAAATTTGAAGAGAATATATTTCAGTTATCTTTTATAGGAATTAATATAAAATCTAACGATTTATAAACGTAAAATTTTAAAGATCTAACTTTTGGTGTGTTTGAAAGTTTGTGAGAGCCATTTGATAAATTTGCTACGTAATTGAATTCCTGGAGCTGGTGTGTGCGACTTTCGCAAACTAGCATAATTTAATTACAAGTTAAAAGATATAAATTACTAGCGAGCGTTACACACGACGCACGATGCATAATTGTCGAGTGCAACACCGTGATTGGATGAATTTTGCCTTAACTTTTTAATTGTGACTATGCACAAACTGTAGAATACCTACGATCAATCAAAATATTGTTTTTATGAATGAAAATTAATCTTGACTTGAAGTTTACAATCTAAATTTTCAATTTTTATTTTGGATCACTGTGAAAGTTTTGCAGGTAAAAAACTTTTATTCGAAATGTGCAATGTACACGATTTTTTAAAGTAATTTAAGTAAAATGCAAAACAGCAGCGTTTAATTTAATTTTAGATAAGCTGTATGTGTGCGCTCACGTGTGAGCGTTTGCGTCTGCAAATTGCTTAGTATTTTTAATTAAAAACACAAAACGCAAGCTGGTTTAATTAAATTAATTTCGTTTTTTTGCCCAATGCCTAATGAACCTTCCACTCACGTCGAATGGCAAAATTAAGTCTTAAAACTTTTGTTCGCATCGTATAAATCCGATAGCAATGATTAATCCACACACGACACAATTTATCAACACGTCAAGTGCATTTAATCGCCGAGGTTATCTCCGAAATAACATTAATTATTATCCTCGATGCAAGCGCGCCCTTGCAAAATCCGATTGATACATTTCGCCTCGTGTATCGCAGGTTTGCCGCTGCAATCGAATCATGCACTCCAACTCCAAACAACTGCAATCACAACTGTAACTGTAACAAGCGACAGTTTTGATGGTGGTTGTTGTTGTTCATCGAGTGGTCGATAGACGGGGATGAATTGCAGTTATATGGGGCGAAATGATGGCCGTGTTGTGCATGCACATTATTTGCAATCGATTCGTCGTTATCGCTTTGGCCTAGTGGCTCTTAAATTTATACGCAATTCGCAAATAAATTCACGAACGCAGCGTGCGTGAATGTATATACATACATTGTACGCATGTTGATGTAATGACGGTTTATTACGCAAATTAATGGTTGTATATTAGTCATATTGGAATTCAGATCTCAGGTCTGCAATCAGGCAATCACATCATGGCGATAATTCATGGTAATGTTACACTTTAGATATAGTTATCATTATAGATATTTGTATTTGTGATATGTATTTGCTTCATTCATTTGTTTAAATTGTTGAAAATATGTCCTCGGTTTACATTCAAAGTAAATTAATGCTTAATTCCAGATTTAAGCACGTTGTATACTTTCGCGTTTATAAAACAAATACTTTTACTTCTAGTGCGTAAATATCAACTTTACGCAGTAGATACCTGCAAACTATACTCGTACTATTGATTCTTCAGAATATAGCGCATAGGCATCTTCGGCATCGTTTTGACAGGATACAGTAAATATCTTTATACGACTAACACGAATATGATATACGAGTATTCTCAAGATGACTTATTGCTTATAATATTTTACACTTTCGCGGAAATGTTGCCCACTTTCGGCTATTTCGAACAATCTATTTACTTACATAAATATCCTGAGATTGCGGTAATCCAAACACAAGTTGCTGATAGGGAGATTATGTGAAAATGAGGAGATTGAAGGTGAATGAGGAAACTCACAAACCAGACTGGCGAGCGACGCGCGACATGTCGAAATTCATGTGCGATGCGATTCCAGGCAATCTCCACACCGATTACGATTCGGAATCAGCGGAATCAGGTTACGCAAATAAATCAAAATGGAAATCGTAGTCGCTGTAATGGAACCATGTCCATAATTACACGTACGCGATTAAAATGAGATCAAATGTATACAAATGATTGATGAATGTATGTTTGGATAATACTTATGCTAAAGCTAATAAAAAGCATTAGTAAGAGCGACTAATCTATGATTTTGCATGTTGTTTGTGGACACAAAAATTTGCAATACAATTTAAATAATTATAGAATTTACTATATTTTATACTTGCACATATTATGTTATTATTTAAATCTACCGTTAAAACCAAACTAAAAACGATTCTGAATCAACATAAACTTTTAAAATTTCTGTATGTTTGGTTGCCTATAGTTAAACCTATATGTTAATATTTATAAATTCAATACATTCTTCTAAAGTAGGAGCAATAACAACGTATTATTTTACATATTTGTGTAATTCAATATTATATATAAGTTTTGTTTTACTTTAAAGTGTATTTCTAATTTATATTCACTTTTCAGGTGTTCTTAGTTGAGCTCAGTGGAGAACATGAAAAATAAATGTCATCAACCTAACCAGTGGACAGTGCACGTTTCAAACATTATTACAACGTGAATCGATGTTCGATACATAAAAATAAACCTCGCCTATTAAACCTACTAGAAGGAATCACAGCATAACATCAAGTGGAAGTAATAGAACGGGTTGTTCCAAAGTTAACCTTAAAATGAGTAATCCAGGCACTCCTAGACCAAGTCCCAGACCAACGCTGCATAGAAAAGTGAAAAACCCCGAGGTGATTGAAATTAAAAGTGATCCAGATAGCAGCGAAGTTTCCTCGACGAGTTTGGACAAACGTGATGAAATAACTAACGGTTCAAGTGATATAACTCATCAAATTCTCAATGATGATGTGACTAATACAAGAGAAGCTGCAGCTGGGGATCAGTGTGAGGACATTGCAGATATGGAAGAAACTGATCTTCTGGATGACTTCAAGATACCAGCACGTACATTGCCCGCCTACAATGCACCTGAAAAGATTATAATTGTATATGATAGTGCAATTGATGAAGTCAGCACAGGTTTCCTCATGAATAATGAAAAAATCTGCCCAACTGTAATGCTTAAGCGAAGTTTAAGGTTTTTCTTGTATAACAAACAATTAATTGATCCAAGACATGAGTTTGCATTGGTTGTAATTGATGACAACAGTGTGGTATGGCTTAAAGATTTTACATGCCACATAGACACAATTATCAATGCATTGGATGAGATCTCAGCATGTGAAACTGAAGACATTCTTGTACTTGATAATTTATTCAAGTTGATAGGTACCAAAGTGAAGATGCCTGAAATAAAGGAGAACTTTAATGTGCCACCTCCTTATGTAGTGAGAGTGCTATTCACCTATGGAAGGTCATACACAATGCCAAAGCTTGACTATCAACTTCAAGAAGTGTTTTCTTTGGTTTCTTCGCCATACTTTACATTTGATATACTAATGACACATGAGATGCCTAGTACAACTAATAATTGCATAAAGATTTTCAAGGATTTGCAGCAGATTGATTGCAAAGGTTTTGCGTACTTTTTCCCGGTGGGCAGAAGCGCAGCGCAGTTGCATTTGTGTATTGCTAAGTTGCTTGGTCATCCGTTACAGAGGTCTGTCCAACGCCTCGCCGATTATACTATTAACGCCATGGAGACGTAATAAGTAATGGTTGTGTAGGAGAAAAGAATGATTGTCATGCATGATACAATACTTGTATTTGTAAAGATTATTATGTACTTTAAATATATATTTTATTTACCCTTTGTAATATATAAAAGTAATAAATAACAATCTAAATTTAAAAAATATGCATGAATAACAGGGTTTTCTTAACCCTGTTTTTTCTTAAATAATTTTTCTTGTCGAAACCGTAGAAGTTCGTTGAAGTGCTTCTCCTCCAACAGAAAGATTAAAAGATTAAATTGCGATTATATCGAAAACAATAAGGGCTACATTAAAAATAATTTCATGTTCTGGTTCTTTGATAAATTCTTTACAAGATTTAACACTTGTTGTAAAACGACCAAATGTGTATAAAGAAATGAAAGAAAAGACTTGGTTAAAAAGAAATCAATTCTTTTCACTTTTTTATTAATTCAAAAATAAAAGTTGGAATTTTAAATTTCTGATTGCGGATTGTAAACAAACGATTAAATTTAAGTTATTAATTTTAGTATTATTCGCTCCTATCATTTATGTTCAGGCCCTATTGGGTTCTAAAGGTTATAATTAACCCGAATTATTTGAAACAGTTATCGACTTCTTTTAAATCGTTTAAAATTAAAAAAAAATTATGTACTAGCTTCAAGGCCTAGAACTGTTCGTTTTGTTCACTACTACATTGATAAAATCAGTGTTTATCAACAAAACACGTTTTTCTTATCTCGTTCTACTTGTCTCTGCGTTACCAGCGCAAGCGGCCGGTTTGCGTAAGTTATTTAGTCTGATTTTTATCGTCGCGTGATCCGCGCGCTTACCTCCTTCACGATTCTTTACGTTTCGAATGTTTCTTTTCCTTATTAAATAATATTACTAATTGCACTAATCTACTTTGCGCGAGCGGAGTTCGTTAAACGCGGATTGAACACAACCAGAAATACGAGTAGCAATGCTCGAGTGAGGTACCATCGTCCGTCGGAAGCTCTTCAATAATTTTTACTATGTACTAACAAAACGTAAACCTCGCGTTGCCTGTAATCAGTTTAGTATTTTAACTGTGTATAATAAAAATGCATGAATGTTATTCTGGATATCAAAAAATGCAATTTTCACTTTGCATCAAGGTATGTTCTGGCATTTCTTGTAGCTTATAAAGTCCAAATTCTGCTTATAAAATACTGGTATTTACAGCCGTGTGGTCTATGCAACATTCAACTTAAATTTGCTGATTTTCCACTGTATCAATTCTACCTTTGCTGTTCTCTGATTTTTTTTATTTCTGGTGTTTCCTTTGTATTGTGGAACTTTGTATGTTGTTATAAAATGTAATGGTTTTCTACTTGTACCACCTTGTTTCATGTGACCAGTCGTTATCTTATTTGAATCTCAATTTTTCTGTTTGTATTACCCTGTATATCAATTCCCTTTAGCACTTCGTGAAAATGAGAAAAATATTTTGCTTCCCTATGTTTTCCTTCTTAAATTTTAGATTTTCTTTTTGTAACACCCTGTAGATAATTTCCTGTCAGGTCACGTACAAAGCTGGCAGGATACATGTTTTACTGCCTGCACTTTGGTATTTCATTTTCTAATATTATTGTTTGTCTGTAACACCCGGTATATTAATTTCCTTTGAAGTTAAGTGAAAAACGGACAAGATATACGTTTTCCTACTTGTACTTGGGGTACTAAGACTTGTTTCAAAATGGCGACTTGTATTTTGTAACTGTTATATATTATGATTTATAGTTCTATGTATGTTTTAGTTTAATAAAGATATTTTAAAAGTGATTGTGGCTCATGATTTGTGTGTACCCCCTCCTACCATTTCAGGTACTTGAAAAGAATTTCTAAGTGTTGTGGTCGGCTCTTAAGAGAGTTGACACTTAGAAATATTTTTACAAGTCCTTATCAGGATTGTCCATATAAGGAGTTCCCTCTCTCAGGGGATGATCCCCCACCATAAAAATTATTGATATGCCTAAGAATCCTGGGGATGAAGCGTAGAGATATCGTAGCTGTAGGCTGGGCCGGGAGCAATGGATGCATCGAAGCAGTGGGCGATCAACCTGTAGACTGTCTTATAACGACACGCCGCCAAAAAAATTAAAAATTCGAGCCACTCCTGTTCTCGGTGTGGCTTTCTCTCATCTTACACTGTTCTCTTACTACTCCTCCTTCCTCAATCTTGTTATTCCCAACTTCCCTGTATTGCCATATTCTCGTTCTCCGCTGTTATTCGAATTTCACACGAAGTATAGATATTATATTATAGATATATCTATACTTCCTGGAATTTCATTTCAACACTGATGCCGCGCATAGGCAACCCACATTACTCGGATTTATTTTCATATTTAAGAAAACATCCTTGCTCTACTAAGATTCGAACCACGAATCTCTAATATGCAAGTATAGGCACACGCACCTCATCCACCGAGCTCTCTTAACATGCACTATTCGTTTCAGGTATAAATGTTGCACTTTTATTCATTTTTTTTTAAAGAACAAAACTTATGTTTTGTCACACACATACAAGAAACTTAAACCAAATGTTATTTTTAAACGATTCCTAATAACGACAAAGAGGATACAAAAATAAATAAACTTACAATTATAATATTAAATTGTCTTTTATTGGAATTCATACAAATAAGAAATTATTTTGTAATTGTTTTCCTTTTACGTGTGGTGAAACCATTTTCTATAGCTTTGTAACTGCTTGGCCAGTTGAATTCACAGCAAATGGTTTCACTACACAATAAATAAAAACAAATAAATATTAAAATTAATGAATACGTTAGTTCTAATTTGCATTGACGTCACTCACTTAATTGTCCTTCAGCTAGCAACTGACTTAATATATTTTCATAGTAAAAAATAATGCTTATTTGAACAAATTAACCGTTGAATAAATAAATAATAATACCAATTCGACATATTATCAAGGGGACGGTATCCGACGGCAGCCACCAATATTAGGATAAGTCACTCAATATCCGATTCTATGCGCGACAATTCAATAACTGCAAGCCACACATCCGCAAATTCATTGTCTACCATACTACTATCCCATTAATATCTCAAGAAACGCAATTAATAACTATGAAGAAAGACTCACAAACAAAACACGTGCTCACGACACCACCGCGCACGACCGACTAAGCAGGAAAGGGAATTGCCAGCCGACGTAAACATCTAGTTGGAGACCCCAGGTAAATAATTGTAGTATTGTATACTTTTATTATTTATATATAGATATAACAATGTCGATTAGTTTGATACAATTTGCATTTTTAATAGAAAAATTGTTTTTTACATGTCCATATGGCTTAAATCTATAATTGTGTTACTGCATTCAGAATTTAATTTAATTTCGGAATCCAAAAACAAAATTTAAAAATTAAAGCACATATCAGAATTTTATTTTGAATCATGTAAAACAATTAAAAAGTGCAAACAAGAAAAGTAAATAATGAAATTAATTTTCAAATGGCTGAAGAAATATCGGATTACAAGGTACTCTTTTGTGAAAAGATTACTTGACAGTAATCTCAGCCCTGCAAAGTGATTGTCGGATTATCGGGATTCCATTGTATTAACATTTGAAGAGTTTTTAAGGATAATTCTTGTATGAATTCGTATCCACTGAAAATTATTCTATCGACGGAGCTATACACGCGCGCACAATGTAAAACCTGTAAAAACTCAGTTCAACACGTAATCAATTTATAACTGTAAGCCGCTTATGTCTTTTATTACTAAATACTGTCAATGGCTAACCCATTTTCATGCTACTTCTTCGAGAAACACGAGAAGTCGCAGCGAAGATCGAGTCGGCAATAAAACACGTGCACAATGCACCATAGTGCCCGACGTACTAAACAGCATAGATTTTTAAGGGTCGATACGCGAATTTTAGGTTTTCGACACTATGACAATTATCAGTCTCCTAGCTCCACTCTCCACTTGAATACTCTTATTTCTTAGTGCATTTTTAGGACTTCTTCAGTTCTTCTTGGGTCCTAAAACTTCCTTGAGATCTCAATCTCTGCGATTCCGCAGAAGGAAGTTGAAGCTGAAATACAATATATTTGTAAGACGATTGTAATCTATCAAGTACACACAAAAAAAATACTGAGATTTCAATATTTGACAAACATAATGCTCTCTAATAAATGTTATTTGATTACTTCTACAACAAATCTAAAGAGTGAATATGAACGCGTAGATTCACAGAAATCGCAATTCACGAACGGAATTCCGCGACGTGCATGACGCGGTGCGTTAACACACGATGTGTGATTCGGGGGATCCCAATCGGTTTTTTGCCCACGCATCGCGGCAAATTTCAATGGATTCACGGAATTCTCGCGTGGGGCATCGATACAAAGCCGCCCGCATCCGATTTTCAACCGACATTCTCGCAAGGTTCATAAAAGAATCAAATACAGTCTTGGTGCGTTTAGTTTCGTCCACTACCGCCACCATACAGCACTAGAATTTGAAAAATGACTTTCAAAGTGCAACTTAAGCACTTTGCGCAACACAAAACAACACCGATTGTAAGTAACCCATTCAAATTTGTTTAAATTTTAATTGACGCTAATTTGTTTGGTTTTCTAGAGCTTCAAAAACTACATACTCACCAAACACAAGTTCCGCTTCCGTACATGCGACGATTACCATTCAACCCTTCCGCATATGGAAGATTCGGTGCCCGAAAGTGTACATTGCTCTAGGGTGGAAGAAGAAACTCCGGAACCTGAACTGCCTGTAATGATAGCAAACTTTACACCTGTTACTGACGTCGGTAACATATCTCAAGAATCTAATCCAGCACAATCTTCAAGAAGACGACGCCGAAATTTAAACTGCACGCAATGTGATAAAGTTTTTACTCACCGCGGCGATCTTAATAAACACCTTCGAACGCATTCCGGCGAGAGACCGTACGAATGCCCTCATCCGAATTGTACGAAACGTTTCGCACATTCCTCGAATCTCAGGAGACATACTGTCGTCCACAGCGGTGACAAGCCGTTTAACTGTGATAAATGTGGCCGTAATTTCAACCGCAAAGATAAGTTGCAGCTGCACCAACAGACACGGTTGTGCAGGAAGAGGAGTCAATCGTTAGCAACCTCATCGGCGTCACCATCGACATCTACGACTAATTAAAATATAATATTTTTAAATAATTACTTGTGCCATATACAAAAATTTGTAAACAATACGCTTATGTCTTATTTGCTCAATAATAATATTTTAATTTGTATAGTTGGTTTCTTTGATATTGACGCGTAATTCCTTAGTAAACTTTAGGAAAATCCCGTACATACAAATTATACTTTCTGATAACATTGATTGTCCTTATCGTATTGCGTTGACGACATAATTCTTGTAACTGAGTGTCAGGACGGAATTCCCCATACACAATTCCCTACTGATTTGTAAATTGTCACCGATACGTGAATTATTTCAACTCGTTTATACTTCTAGAAACAAGGATGGAAAGATACGTAACCGGATGCAGAATTAATAATCTACTTTAAACGTATCACAATAAACAATTTATCATTTTACACTTTACTTGAGGCCCAAAACTTGCCTCTTCCCCCTCTTACCATAATTTTCGCATGTAACTTTATGCGCGAGCAAATGTGCGGCAGTGGCTTACCCCCACTACCTTTCGCGGGTCAAGTGTGGATATAAAGGTCTTCCAGCAATCTCGTCGTCTGTAGGGCTCCAGGGATCCCTCTCTCGTATTTTTTCTGGTCTACAAGGGTCAAGTCGCGCCCAAGCAATCTCATGTGAAGCCCCGTCATTCGAGTATTTGTGATATTTGGTTTAAGCAAACAACAAAAAACATATACTCTCATGTACTTACCCGTCATCAATCAAAAGTAATAATCTAGAAGTCGAATATCTGGTCCTTGGCCATTAAATACACAACTAAAAAAGTTTGTTTTTAGAGGCAATGACTAATTAATGTTATTCCCTACTACACATCTTTACACAGAACAAATCAAGCACATATTTGACAAATCAAATCATCCACTCAGAAACTTTGGAAAACCCCAAAATCTTTAATGATACACCACGTAATTTATTAGTTGTATTTTATGACTTATAACCATTACATTCGTATATACAAGATGATATAATATCATAATCTGCTGGCAATTCAATGAAAAATACGCAATAATATTTGTCTTCACTCCGCCTCCCACATTTACTTACAAATCTTAACAGATACCGGCGACATATATCGCATATTTAAAATTCCAAATTTAATTACTACCTATCTACCTATAAAATAAGCTAAAATGCTCATTATAACCGCAATGTTCACCCGTTCATCTCTTATCTCGTAGTGATGATGCATGATGATTAATTCCATCTAAATAATATATTATCACGATTGATGCGACTGGAAAAGAATACACAATTGACGTTAGATTCTTTGCAATTAATTTCGATGCTTATAAAACTAAACGAATGATAATGGCAACAAATGAAATGAAAAGTTCAAAACTTACAAAAAGCCAAAAGAGTGGAAAAAATAAAGCGAGAGATCACCGCACGACCTGCTTGGGTCGCATGTACGACTGTACTTCTCTGGAGAGTGAACTAGTCGAACTCCATCTAGACATCTACCACCCGGATATGAATAAACAACCAACCAACAAAAAGCCGCGTCCAGATACCAAAAACAAATGTGCAATTTTTATACTAGATGCTCAAATTCACCTCATGCTAAAGAACCAATAATGAGCATGCAAATGATTTTTCATGCAATATATTAAAGAAAGTACATTCCGAAACCGACCTGCATGTGTGGTTCTTGTTGAGTCATGCCCGACGGTGTCAAGAAGTCCACAGGTGCGTTAGGATCCATCGGAGCAGGAACAAAGAAGTTCATCGGTGCAGCGTTAGCGGCCGGCATTGCCGGAGCGTTGAAATCTGAACTTGAACCCGCTGAAGGTGGCTTACCACTTGGATTGAATACATCTACATAAGATTTCTTCAAATCTGAAACCAATATTATGTAGAATTTCTATAAATTTTGTTGTTAATTGACTCACTTCGTCCCCGTTGCATCTTAAACATATTCTGCGATGGCAATGGGGGTTTAGCATCGCTCTGTGGATGTGAGTCCAAACTCTGTGGCTGACTAGGAGTCGCCATCCCGCCAAACTGGTTTAAATTTGGCAGAGATTGCGGCTGTTGATGCTGCTGCTGTTGTTGCGGCATTTGTGACATTTGCTGCATTTGTGGCATACCAGGCGGTTGTTGAGCCTGCCTCATGTCCGCCATCTTGGGTGGCGGCTTCAACTCGGCCGCACCATCTGCATTATCTTCATCTAAATTCATCCAACGTTTCTTTTCTTGGTCCCATACAATCTTAATAAACAAACGAATAAATATACTGACACAATTCCAAACTCTATTAACTTACAGTTGGATTTTTATCATCCGGCAACTTCATTTGATTTTTCGGTCGTAACGCTAATTTACTCCAAATGCCACCAAACCACCCGGTCGAAGACGCATTGGTCGGTTTCTTTTCGACTTCTTTCGGCGGTTTCTTCATCTCCGGACCAACATTTTCGCTCATCGATGTCCTTTGCTGACGGCCTTGATTAGGCATCGAAATCTGCGGCCGCGGCTGATCCTGCGTAACAAACACAACACAGAATTACGCAAAATTAACCGGAAACTTAAACAAAACACACGCCAACTTTTAACCAGAGATAACGATGGTTGTTGTTGAAAAACAGTCGCAGTCAAAAACAGCAAATTTAGCATATTATGTTTATTTGTAAACATATAAAAAGCACTTGTACACATTTGTAACGTTAGTATAACTTGTATAATCATCCGGTGGTTTTTGTTTTATATTTGCCGCAATTAGATTTAACAACAATGCAAAATAACATAGAGGGTTGTTGCATCCTAATTTAACGTTTCAATATTTTTAGTTTAACAGTTTAACACCGACACCGACAACTTTCACTAAGGCTTTTTACTTTTAACAGTCATCTACTTGATGATGATAAAAATAAAAACATGTGATTGTTTGCATTAATGATTTATGGCGCTTACGCATTTTATCCTTTTATAAAATTCAACCGGTTTATTGTTTGATTGTGCGAGCCGTAACAAAACAACTATTTTCAGGTTGCTATTAAATCGGTAGATCTATATCAAAACTCTTTGCAGGCCCGTATTTGCGGAATTTTTCTGCGCCCGCGTAATTGTTTAAACGCGGTACGCGTAATTCCGTTGGGGAGAGAGGCGACGGCGGACGGGGATCATCCGGCGGCAGTTTAATCCTCGGCGGAGACTGCACGGTGGGCGCGTCGATTGGGAACGTACCGCCAAATACCAAAGGCTTATACACAATATCCTTATCAGTTTGTTTAAAAATACAACTTTTCAAATTCGACAGCATGTTTTTCTTTTTCGCCCACGCGTCCACCGTGTCCGCGATCATATCGTGCCGCTGCCTCGTCGCCGCCCGTTTCTTTTCATACTTCAACATCTTGAAGTCTGAGTTGAAGTCGTGCGCCGAAATGCTCACATTGCTCTTTGTGTCATAATAAACGACTTTTGATGGTGTGGAGGGCGTGCATGGCTCGTCCAACGATTGAAACTTTGTGAGCATCGCGGCGCGTTTACCGCCGGTGCGCGTGTTTGCTGGACTTTTCTCGCGATCGGAATCTTTGTCGGCGTGTTTCGCCTTGTCTTTATTCGCATCGAACGTGTTGTATCTCGTGAGTTTGGTAATGACTTTGTTGTCGTCCTTATAGCAAATCAGCTGAGACCTTTCGGCGCTCCTCGCGAAGAGGCTGCAGCGGCTTCGCGGCTGTGATTCGCACTCGGAGCTCGCCGAAGAGCTACGCCGCGATAGCGAGGTGGACTTGCACGCGCGCAAGTTGAGCCGCTTGCGGAGCACCGAGCACTTACTACTTACTGGTTCTTTTTTCGCCTCGGCCGGCTGCGTCCAGTTGCGAAGAATGCAAAATGTCAACACATATTATAACACAATACAAAACAAAACAAACAACAAGAGAAAAGCATGAAACTGTTGCGATAAATGCGTTATAATTAATATCGGTGCGGTGCGATTGCTAATTACGATCTAAACTAACGGGTACCTACCTCAATTTGAGCATTATTCCAGTAGTCGTTTGCTTGCGGCGAAGTTTGATCACTTTGACTTTGTTGTACCTCCAAAGGGGACTGTTGAGTATCAGGACTCCACTGTTGTTGTTGTTGTGGTTGAGTGTTCCAAGTTTGTTCCGGATATGCATTATAGCCTTAAAAATAATATATAGTAATAATCATATTTCCTATCCCAAACAATCACTTACTATCGACATTAGTTTCCTGTTGTAGTTGTTGTTGTTGTATACCATGTTGTTGGTTATAATCATTCTCTGTCGACTGCTGTTGCCAATTGTTCGTCTGATTATCCACATATTGAGTTTGTGGCTGATTTGACCACGGATCTTGTGGAGATTGATCATAACTCTGCTGTGTTGGTAACGCGGTGGTATCGGGTGTCATTACGGTTAAATTATTAACGCTTTCGTGACTTATTAAACCCATCTGAACACAAAGTTCAATTGATTGACGTTCGCATAAACATTTAAAAATACTCACAGCATATTGTTGTTGAACACCTTTAAGTTCCTGCAACCAAGATTGATCCGGCCGTTCATCGCCTGCTTGTAGTTGCGGATCATCCACATCCTGATAATCTGTAGGATCGTAATACTTGAGCTTGTCGGCTAAGTCGCACACTTTGTTAATCAGCGATGGCTGCGCAACAGTTGGATTTGCAACTAGCGCGATGGAAACTTGTTCAATGTACGCTAGAGATGTTTCCAAAAAGCCACGGTCCGCTAAACGTGTTGCCAACAAGTATTTATAGGCCTACACAAAAATGTACATGTTAATAATTTCCTTACATCATAACAACAATGATAGTACCTGAAACTCTGGTATTTTAAATGCGGCATCATTTAAACTGCATGCATACTCATAGATTTCAGTCATATGGATTGCCTCGTTATGAGCAAATTGCATAAAGGGTTTGCTCTGATTGCCACCCAGCAGTACCAACTTTCCGTCCTGTCCGTAACGCGTGAAGCCAACCTCGGCCATAAGATAACAAAACTGAGCAGCGTACAAACTGCCGCGACCCATTAAGGTATCCCCGAGGGTTGTAATCGCCTTACGATCCAATTCAGGACGTTGCATTGTGTTGGATAGGATCATTGCTAGATGCGGACGCCAATCACCCCATTTTTCATCACTAACGGACTAAACACAAACAAAATGGATTAAAATGTTTTTTTAAATTTAATTATGATGTTCTTACTGTTACTGCAGCTGGTAAATGGCCAGAGAGCAATTGATACAGCGTCTGTAAGGGATCGTTCATCGGCAGACCATTGGCAAAACGTGTCATCACTTTTGCATACGTCCGCTTGTCCAGTTTGCTGGCGAGGAAAAGCGCATGGCCCCAAAGACTATGTTTCATCGCCCATTCAAGTGCCTGCTGCACCGACCCGTACAAAAGATACTCGCGGAATTTTCGCGTAACATACTCTTCTTTCAGTTGGGAAGATGCAGGTTCAGTGCTTCCTTCTGACACTTCAACGACACCACTGCTGTTGGAAGCAACAGATGCCGGACGAGGCAGAATTGACTCTGTATTACGGTCTTTCATCAAAAGTTCAGCAATGTCAGCACCAACCACCATCTAAAAATAAATATCTCCTTGAATTACAAACATAAAAGGCACTTTCTCATATAAAGTTGTTACTTTTTTGATGAATACTTTCAACAACACCTCAAACTTTTTCATTAAAAGTAGAAAAACTGTAAGAAATAGTTTTAACATGGTAAAACTTTGGTCCCGTCGAGTTTGATACAACATTTTGAAAGAAACGCGAACGACTAACTCCAAATATCGGCGTTTGTCGAATAAATACCGTGGCAAAATGGGGTTAACATCCCCATTACGTCGACGTACGAAAAGTAGCGCACGTAAATATTTAAATCGATCTAATCGAACAAGATTCACACAAATATTATACATTCGTTCAAATAATTACAATTATTGCTCATTGGGGTAGATCTAGGCCAGCAAACTATTCAAGTATTCAATAAACACGGAACGAACAAAAACAAAGAGAAAATAATAAACAGCTTACCCCATTCTGACGAATCAATAAAATCAACAACTCCCACATTAGGATATACGAATCGGGATCATCTACTTCCTTCAGCGCACCATTAACTCCGTCCTGAATGCCGCGAATTTTATTGTTGCAATATTCAATTATTGTCTTTTTGTGAGTGACACCACGTGCAAGTGGCCCAGGAAATTGTTCCAGCTCAATTAGTTCATCGTCATTTTGTAAAAGGTCCTGCAGCCTTTCAAGTTCGACCACAGCCGACTGTCCGTCCATGGGATAGTGCGGCAGAATCTTCACAAGTCGTCCGGATGTGATTGATGACTTAATATGCGCGGTGGAGAATTTCGCTGGTGTAAGACGCTGTGAAACTGTGCTGTCCTCCAGCAGAAGCGAGCTATCGGTATAGTCGTAGGGTCTATTATTCAAAATTTTTAATATGAGTAGTGCAAAATAAGCGAAAAATTGTTAAATTGTTAAATTTGTTGTGAAAAGCATTAGCATGCAGGTAGTGTTGTGATTGTGGTACATAAATGACGATGAGAAATTATTCCTTTTTCCAAAATTAAATCCGTACAATCATCTATATAGTAGTTTTTTTTTGTGTGGCAGTTTAAAGCTCTCACCTGGATTCGTCGAGTCCGTACTGTGCAGATGAAACGCTCTGCGGCTCACGATAATATCCGCCCATTTGCGTATAGCTAGCGTGTCCATAATAGTTTTGCCGCAAATACCTACAAAGGACGCAAATGCCACACAAACGATAACTCTTGTTGATCTTTCGTTTCGCAGACAACACATTCTTTTATTATCCGCGTTAAAATTTCATGTTTTCCTAATGAAAATGTGAAATGTTCAATGGTAACATGTGCAAAACGCAGTGAATACAAAAACAGCACGCAACGAAAGCAATTGCAAGAAGTATTCACGCGTAAAATCAAAACTTACCGCTCTTTGGCAAGATCATCATTGGTACTACTGCGACCAGAATGAACCGACGTCTTTTCTTCCTGTGTGTACGTCGAACTGGCAGCGCCTACTTGACTATAGTACTTGCGATAGTACTCGGCGTATGCTGCTGGATCCGTACGCCGTAAATTCTCCAAATAGTATTGATATTGTTGATAGTACGGATTGTATGCATCATACGGATAACCCTACATAGAAATAAGTTTTAAAAACAAATATTTGACATTAATTGGCATAAATATTGAACTTACATGCATTTTATACATATTATAAGGATCCCTGTCTCCTCTATGATCCCTATCTCTGTGACGATGTGGATCCCTATCGCCGTGTTCACGTCGTCGATCATTCGTTCGTGAATTTCGATAGTAAGAATCGTGCATGGAATCAGAACGGCTTGATGGCCGAGACGAGCGATGCGAATCATCATACTCATCATTATAACGATTGTAGTAGTAATCCCTGTCACGTCTGGAGTATTCGGATCTTCTGTCATTGCCACGCTCTCGATCATCGCGTGGATTGCGTCTACGACGATCTGAATCTCTTTCGCCTCTTCTTAAACTGCTGTACTTTTTATCCGGATCTTCCCTATCACGTTTTCGATCCCTTTCTTTGTCGCTAAAGTAATCCGTGTCGTCGTCGAAGCCGCGATCGCGATTCTTCCTGCGATCTGTTCGTGATTTCTCCCGGACATCTCGTGAATCGCGCCCGTCACGCGCAGGTGAATACCGAGTATCCCTCCTGCTACCTTCCTCTTTTCTTCTTCGATCTACTGGAGATGTCGCACGATCCACATCGCTCTCACTCGCCTGTCTACCATCACTAGTGTTCTCCCCGACAGTCAAATCACGAATTGAACTCGTCAGAGTATCAACGTTCGTTCCAGTGCTGTCCTGAGTATTAGCCCCGTCTAAATTCATTTCGCGCTCGACTTGTTCCGCTCCGTTTGTTGGCGGCGCAGGTGGAGTATCAGCACCAATCGTGGCGGATCTCGACTGAAGAGGATTTCGACCCATTTGTAGTAATTCCGGATCGGACGCTTCCTCTTCATCGTATCGCACTTCAGGCGATGAGGATTCACCAGGGACCATTCGGTGGAGACCAACCGGTGGACTGGCAGTTGATTGAGCACCTTCGGTTTGTCCCAGCACCATTCTACTTAAACCCACAGGTGGTTCATTGACTTCACCTTGTCCCAACTGGCCCAACACCATGCGACTTAATCCTGGTGGAGGTAACGCATCGTTTTCATCTGACAGTTGACCAGTTTCCAAGTATTGATTGCGTTCATTCAGCGGAGCTACTTCGTTATTTTCAACACCAATTGATGGCGATGATTTTACTTCAGGTTGTTGTTGTTGTTGTTGTTGTAGATGTAAATCAGGAGCTTCGGAATTATCCGGTACCGTTTCCAAGTTGACAGATTGATTCATATAAAAATTCCTCATATCACCTTGTGGTTTTGCTCCACTTCGCTTATAAGGATTTTCACCTCCTGAACCACTCGCGGCGCCTACTGGTGGTAAGCTTGGAGGTAAATGTAAAGGTTTGCTATCGTCTTCCTTGACATTACTCACAATCTCTTTATTCTCACAACTTTCCTCAACCACTGGTTCCTGAGGTGTGTGATGACCAGAAACTGGCGAATGACTGATTGTCGAACTTCTCGAGAATAATTTATCGCTTTCGGAGGTCTGTAGAATATCATCAGATGATTCCTGACTGACTTGGGACTCGATCGACCACTGCGGTGAAAACACTTCCGATTTAATCCTTTTGTTAATAGGCAGGGATGGTAACAATGGGACAGTTTCAAGGTTTTCTGACTTAGGTACAACTTTACTACTGCTACTACTCATTTTCGGAAAGAGTTCTCTAATTTGTTGCTCGGAATTGCCAGAATCGTGTCTTTCCTTATTAGTTTCCGACCTGAGAGCGGATGCTGAATTAGCAATTGAATTCTCGTCGACGTTCCAATTCCAGGATTCGTCATTAAATCCATCTGCGACGGCGTTTGTAACATTCGCAACATTACCAATCGGATTCCCAACAGTGTTCGCATTGTGAACATTATTAACATTCGAATTATCTTCATCCCCCCAGCCCCAAGATTTATTCCAGCCATCGTTTTGTTGTATTTGTTGTGGTGGTGGTTGTTGTTGTTGTTGTTGCTGCTGCTGCTGCTGAGCTGATTGATCATACTGAGCATGTGATGATACTGCTGGTTGTACATAATTCTGATATCCATGTTGTTGTTGTTGTTGTTGTTGGTATTGCATGTTGTTGTACTCATAACTCTGCTGAGTTTGTTGTGGTGGAAGTTGATTTGGTTGTTGTGGTGGAACCTGTTGCTGGTAGTAGTTATTCTGTGATTGTTGGGTGTTTCCATACTGATATTGTTGCTGTTGTGGTGGGGGTTGTTGAGTAGGATATTGTTGATGTTGCTGCTGTTGCCAGTAGGTGTTTGGTTGTAGGACTTGAGAGTTTTGCTCATTCACTGTAGGCATTGTTGGCACAGATTGCACAGAAGGTTGATTATACCAGTTGTTTGCTGGTGATTGCTGCCACTATAATGGTAATAAAAAATAATAATTTAACAAAAATGTTTTGTTTTGATAAAATTGTTGGCTTTATCTTACATCCGAGTTGGAATGTTGATTAGGATTGTACATTTGCACCGGTGGCGGTGTAGTTTGAAGACCTGGGCTTGGTGTTGCCGTTGGGGTTCTTCTTTTCATCCACGACATAATTTAACAATTATTTTTTACTCTGGAAGCATACAACAAAAAATTAAATAATGTGTAACAAGGTAAGCTAAAATTAAACTCTAGATTAAATTTTCTGTTTAAAATCTCTTAAATCCTTATTAAATAAGCTGTTTTTATCATGTCCTAAATTATAGTTCAGCGTTATAATACAAAAATTTGGAATATGTAACTGGTTTGTGTACAATATCGCAATTTTTTTGCGTTTTTCAGTTCGTACTAGTACCGCATATTTAATTTCACAAATGTTTATGTATCTGGTACCTAAATAAGCACTTAAACTACATTGTAACAAAAGGCAACAGAGAACAAAAGGTGATTTTCTGCTTGATTCTGGCTTGATCTGTAACTATTTACGCCATCAATCAAATCTTGGCACAAACACAAGCACAACAAAATCTGGAATTTAATAAAGCACCCGATGTTATTGTACCTTGCAATACGTCCATGCATTAAGCTAACAAACCGACAATTTCCACAGCTTTGTTTATTAATACGTGTAAATCTGTTTACGTGTGCATTGAGTGGTCGCTGAATGAATCGGTGAACAATTACCCAGACTCATCCTGACAATTACACCTAGTAAACGTTTGTGCGCTTCCTATTTAACTCCTTATCCACAAAACTGTCTACGTTTCTAACATTCCAATCATTGCAACGAATGAAACACACACGGGAGACCTCGAAAACATATGCTACCGAACTGCGTTTAAGTTTCACGCTACCAATCGACATAGATTTTATAGAAAGTTATATTGTGCTCCACTGGGCTTATCACTACGACTGCACTGTGATTCGAAGCTGCGAAATGGCACACTTACAATTTTTTCAGACAAGACCACAAGGACAGAAGATCTTTAGAGTAACGCACACAGGACGCACGGCAGGAGCATTTTCGGCGATAACACGCCACACGAAGATGAAGTTATCCAGCGACGACCAGCGAGGCACAAACTTTCATTTTTTCCACGCCACCGACTGACACTGACTGAATGCAAATCGCGACGGGCGCGCGCGGTACACGGGTACACGTAAGCCGCGAGTTGCGAGCCGGAGCGCGGTGACAATGTCAATACGTCAGATTCCCACGCACCTGAACGACTCGTGCGTGCGATGCGTGTGCGTAATTTAACCTATGCAACCAAACATACAAGTTTACAAATTTAATGAATTTAATTAACATACATACTAAATTAATCTTTCAACTCAACTATAAAAGCAGTATAATAAGAGTCATAATAATACTAATAATGCTTTAATTCAACACTAATCCGTGTAAGTTTGTGTAAAAATAAATAATATTTTAGAAAATATGTTTAATACTAGGCAACCCAAAATACACCTTCCCGACTGTAGTCGACTACATACAACTCCTCGGTTAATCAATTTCAACGAAATACGAATTCAAAATAAGACAGAATCTTTAAAATTGTTTATATATATATATATAAAATTATCATTTATAAATGTCTGTTTTATTACCCTAGTTAATTAAAACACAATCGGAATCTAATGCAATCACTACTGCACTAAGTGTTGATTTTATAAATAAAATATCTATGCTAAGTAATTTTTACCACGGCATGTGTATGTTTTGCGTGTCTGTATCTCGAGATAAATTTATGATATTTACAAATTAAATACGGGAGGCGCGGTCAGAGCGCAATTGCAAATTAAAACTAACTTTATTTCTGCGCGCTGACTGAGCTGCTGCTGGATACCTTCTTCGTGTGTCGCACCTTCTTCACGTACGCCTCCACCAGATTCTGAATCTTCTTCGGGTTAATTTCACCGGCCTTATTGTGACAAATCTAAACACCAATCAATAGCTTTAAACATTGTATTCATGGTTATATCACGTTGTGTCTTACCTTTGGCACAGCTCGTCGTAGAATATCCTTATATTCATCTTTATTAATATGTTTTTTATTGTAGTGCGGTTTAAGCACAAGCTTGACTTCTTCAACAACGCGTTCTTGGCGATTAAGTTTCTTCAAATACTAAAATTATCAATAATGTGATGTTTTTGAATACAAAACATTTTCAATTTCAAATCTTACCTTGTCTTTGACTTGCATCTCCACCGCAGAATTCGGCAATTCATCAAGAATTTTCAAACTGTCCTCATCAAACTTGAGCCCAACCTGTTTGATCTTTGCATGCGTCGGTTTTTTACTCTTATCAATCTTACTCTTACTTTTGTTCCCCGGCGATCCGAAAAGATTATCAAACGTTTGTTTGGTGCTAGCCTTTGTCGGCGGCTGCGACTGCTGCTGCACTGGAGGCGGCGGTGCAGGTTTCGGTTTATTTTTGTGTTCTGTAGGCGGTTCAAACAAGTCCTCAAAATCGCTAGGACCAGGCGAGTACGGCGAATCTAGATCCATATTGGAATCATTCGAGTCTGTACTCCGATTATTTTTCATTTTAGGAGCGGGTTTCGGAAGTTTCGGTGCGTTAGTGCTCGGAATACGTTTGGGCATCATCTTCACAGAAGCCTTTGTGGGAGAAGGTTTCGCCGGAAGGATCGGCGTAATAATCGTCGAGTTTAAGATGTTAACCCTTGGAGCGGTCGTGATTGAAGACGTGGGAGTGGAGGCAGCTGCACTTACAGTAGTTTTAACTTTCGATGAGAATATGGGTGAGTTACCCTGAGCAATCGCAGTCGGTGCAAGTTGACCTTGCTTATCACTTTCCTCCGGTGTTGTACTACCACCCAAACACATCTGGGTATTGGTCTGAGAATCAGCGGGTTGTATATCCGCGAGTGGAGGCGTGTGTGATTTTGCAATACCAATATCAGGCGTTTTACTCAAGGGCATCTCTCGTTCTTCATCGGGCGAATGAGAATCATCAAGATCCTGTGGTCCTGGTTGTGTATCCTCTGCTTCCGGTGTGGGTGATCGTGACTTGGTCGGATCAAAAGGATCATAAGCGTCGGGGCTACTAGGTGGAGAGTTTGGTGGTTCGGAAGGAGTGTTGGGTCCTTTATGCAAAGCATCGTTAAGTCTCTGCTCCAACTCGTCCTGAGGATCAATCTCAGTCTCTTCATTTTCTTCATCTGGATCATGCAGAGGATTGGAGATCTGTCTTAGCTGAGGAGCCTTAGTTGCCAGTGAGAATTTAACCTGAGGTTCTGGTGGTGTTTTTGGGCCCATTGAGTAATCAGTCTGTTGACTTGAATCGGGGACTGCTTTCTCCGGACTATGATCGCTGTCACTCAACACGATAACATCCTTTGGAGACGGTGTCAACTCCTTGAACGGAGATCTATCCAAATCTATAATCGCAACTGGTTTAACTCCACTTAGATCTTGTTGAGGTGTCTTTTTCTTTTTGGTCTTGGTCGCAACGGGAGGTGGAGGTGTTCTGGTACGTTCATGGCGTTTCTCCTTTTCTTTCCGCGTACGTTTCGTACTAATCTCATCATCCACAGCTCGAGTTTGTTTCGTTGTCCGTTTACCCAACTCCTCAGCCTCTTTATTGAAACTAACGCTCACAAGAATGTTATCCCCCGATGCAAACACCTCCTTACTGGGCAGTGGGGTTTTATCACGTTTTCGCTTTTTACTCTTATCAGAAGCGCCCTCTTTCTTCCTCTTCTCACTGCGCTTCTTATCCTTCTTCTTGGATTTATTCCCATCGTTGGTTAAAATTACAGTCAAGTTATGCGGTTTCACAGCTGTACTTTCGTGCATCCTGGGTGGGGTCCACGATGGCGACGCCTTGCGTTCGGGAGTCCTCGACCTGGACAAAGATGGCGACCACCGTGGCCGAGCTTGTGGTTCCCGTTCCCATTCACGGTGCCGTCTTGTTGGGCTATGTGAACGCGATCGTGATCGAGATCTGTGTCTACTCGGGGTGCGCTTCTTCCGCTCACGTTTCTTCTCATCTGCTGATGACCTGCGACGTTTTGGGCGGCTTATGGACCGTCTCTTCCTCGAAGCCGAGCGCTTTCTAGAACGTGATCTTGATCGGGATCTGGATGTGGATCTAGCTCGTGATCGCCCACGTCTTTTTCTTCGTTCTCTTGAAAAAGATCTCCTTCCACGGGACGGGGATCTATATGGTGGGCTGTAGCTGGGACTGCGGGAAGACCTGGATGTGGATCTACGTCGAGCATCTCGACCGAATTTATCCTTATTGGTTTTTCTTGGTTTGTCAGAGACGAGATTCCGCACGTTGTATCTCTCGAGCTCTTTCCGTTTCTCCTTCTTACGCTCACGTTTCTTATCACGTTCATTCTCTTTATTCTTTTCCCTTGAATGACTCCGTGAACGATCCTTATCTCTATAGTTTCTATTGGTGTTCTTGGTGATGCGTTTGAAGGAAGCCGTGGGTTCCTTTTCAACCGGAGCGCTATTTTCTTTATCCTTCTTCTTGACTTCTTTCGTTTTGTTAGTAGTACTTGATTTGCCGGAACTTTCCTCTTTAGCCTTCTCTTTTTCCTTCTCCAACTTCTTGAGCTTATCAATGATCTCACCTTCTTCATAATCTTCGGGTTTCGTAAAATCCAATTCTGATTCCTTCGCGTTGATTTCCAAAGCGTCGCCTCCTTCGGATATCGTTTTGTGTTCATGGGACTCATCAAAATCGTTCTTTTCATCCTCTGAGATAGCTTCGGTGTCTAGCCCTTCAAGCCCTTCGCGGATAGGACCTCTTTCATCCAGACAAGGCGTATAGCTGCGTTCTTCATCACTTATATCTTCAGTGATATCTCTGATATCTCCGATTCCAAAAGATCTCGCGTCCGTTTTCACCACTTCTTCATCCGAATCACTGTAGAGATCATTCAGCTTCGAGTTATCCTTTACATCGTGATGTTCATCATTGATTTCAACGTCTTCTACGTCTGCATTCAATTCAACTGCTTGATCTGTTTTATCTTCACCATCACCTTCGTCGTCTTCATCATCATCAGTTGTAGGAGGTGGTGGAATATCATCTTGGTCTTGATCTTGATCCTGATCCTGTTTACTCACATCCAAACTGGACCCGACTTCATTATGCTCTAAACTACGATTCGCAACTAAATTAATCGTATCTTTCGAATAGATACTGAAATTGGGACATTCTTCATCATCTGTATCCTCAATCGGTTCGTCAACCCTACCATGATCATGGGTTATAACATTCGTCGTACTGGAGACGTCCTCTTCTTGAGCGTCTTTTATCACATCTTCGGATTCATCCTTATCCGAATCTTCCGCCTCCACCTTACTGGTGCTCACAGTTTCAATATCACTATACGGATCCATTCCAGTATCTGTTTCCGGACAATTCCCGCCACCAATACTGGAATTTGTCGTTGAATTGCCGCCATCACCACGGCTGCTTACAGTAGAAGTGGATACAGAATCATTCGAAATCGTCGCTGAACTAGTCGCGACTCTATTATCGGAGCGGTACTCTTGCGGAGAGTTCACATTCGCAATATTAGCCGGATTGTCATTCGTGGAATAAGTTGGGACATTTCTTCCACGAATATGGCGCCGATCATTCACATTCACACCATTCCTATTCGTTTCGCTATTCGAGTTCTTATTCGTGTCAATTTTTAATGAACCATCTTTATTCAACGATAATACCGAGTGTTTCGAATGCATTTTTTCCTGAGAGTCCATTATACTACCAAGAAGGTCAATACTTGATGAAGTTTGTGTTTGGACCGCGGATGGTAATAAATGCGATTTCCTCGCTGCGCTACGCCGCAAAACCGCAACATCGTTCATATTTGGACGCCGTCGCACGAGTACACCGCTACCACTCGCACCACCATCCCCTTCATCATTATCATCTGATCCAGAAAAATAGTCAATGTCATTCGCATTGCCGAAGAGACTGAGCGATGGAATACCCGCTTGATAACGCATGTAACTTAAATTTTTATTCTCACAGGGGATACGCACGTCGGGGAGAGTTTGTCCGGGTTTCTTAGGAGCGCAGATGCCAAAATGTTTCGCGAGACGACGCTTTGTCGTTTTGGTGTCTGCAGCTGCTCTCGTTAACCGTTTTCGAATTTTTCTACGCTTTCGTTTACGTGCTTTTGACTTACAATACGACTTTGTTTCGATGACGATTTTCTTTCCGGTCGCTTCGTCTATTTCGTAGGTGATTTTTATACGAGGCTTACGCGCCTTTCGCTTCTTTCTTCTCTTCTTGGTTGTAGTTGTTCTACGTGTGGTGGAACGATGCCGCGATTGCGTAACACTTGCGGTAGTCGAAGTACGACGTGAAGTTGATGGTTGATCGACCTGATCTACTGTAACTTGAATATTATTATGTCCGACAACGGTGGATATTCTATTATTCTGCCGATTCGAGATGATTCTCGCTCGGATACGATCACTTTGTCTTGTTCGAGGCACGATGTTGTTACTAAAACAACATTTAAATCAATTACAATCTCTAAATATAATAAAATACTATAAATACCTCGGTTGTACACGACGTGCGTTAGCAGGAGCTCCAAACTCTTCAGCATCATGATACAACACCTCCAATTCGTTGACATAGATCGTGATATCCTGCAAATCCTCGGGTCCGCAATCAGGACAAAGCCAACTGCCGACTGGTACATTCTCAAGCGGTGGAGTTAAGCATTCCAGATGAAAACCAAGATCACATCCATCGCAGAGCAGCATACGATCTTCTCGGTCGCAAGCGTGACAGATCTCGCAGAAAGTCGGATCCACCAGTTCCACATCCGGTTCCGCCGCTTGTTGCGCTTGCACCGGTATTTGACGAACTACGCTCCCATCGAGGTGCTTTTTGATAAGAATAAGCTGAAACTGTTTCCTGTCTATTGGACACGTCGTTACATTCTTTGACCATTCCAGGATGCATTCGTAGCAAAAACTGTGCTCGCAAGAATCCGGCAGGCCGATTTCTTGTCCTTTGAATCTGGCAAGACAAATCGGGCACTTGTCCGACTGCCCGTCGCTTTCGGACGACGACGATTCGCCGGACAGTTGCGGAAGTCTGCTACGCTTGGAAGGTGATATTTCCCAATCAGATTCGGAATTATCTGAATCACTATCAATCAAAGCAGTCTGTGAAACAAATAAGATTTTGTTTTTGCTTTAAAAGTATAAGACTTGAATGAAGACTTAAATGGATTCCAATTCATTGCACTCGGGCTCTAAAAAAGTAAAAACTTACTTTTGTTTTCCTATGCCTAATCTCAATAGAACTATCTGATTCCCCTGAAGACTCAGACTCAGATGAAGAACCATGTTTATCTATCTCCTGAGCATTCAAATCGCTCTCACTGTCGCTCGTAGCAGCGTCCGAAAGTCGCTGCTGACCGCTAGTGGAGCCCTCCATATCGTTACTATCGAGATCTCGCGCGTTCCGCTCCATTATCTAAAAGTGATTGGATATTATAAGCAAATCAAAAGTGACAACGACGCTTCAGGTGAGCCTTCGGTTAACGCCGGGCTATTGTTATTTACCTTCGTTTAGTAAATATACGTCGCAGCATGGCATCTAATCATCTATACATCGTGAACACGGTGTTCCCGGCGCTATTTGAGACGGAGGCAGCTGTGATCCGCTGGCATTGACCGCGGTGCGTAGTCAGCGACGTAAACCACAACTATGCGGACGCCATTTTCTAATGCAATCGACTTGTCTCGAATCGACGCACAAACGCGTTTGGTCGTTAAACTCTGAATAGACAACCCAACATACACCACTACAACCATCACTAATTTTGATATTATCAAAAACTAACCGTGCGCAAAACTAATTAATTTAAAAGTGCGCTATGGTGGATTATTAAATCATTTCAATACGTAATAACACTTAGAAGTATATTTAAATTATGTGCACTTACATATATATAAATTAATGTTTGAACAGTATTAGAACAATCACAAAATTTGAATTTAACAAATATCAGAATTAATATAAGCTCAACATTCTCAATATTTTCATTTTGACCATTTATATCTTGCATTATTATAGTAAATAAAGTAATTTAAATTAGATTTAATCTATATTTGACCTGCAAAGCATCACAAACTATCTTTCTGGTCCTTACAATCACAATATCAACAAAGTAAGTCCACTGAGTAAATGTATTTGTATAATCACGATTTTAAATCAAAGAATTACCTTTAAATAAAGCCTTTTCTAAAAAGAAACCTTTACAAATGTCTTTGAAATCCACTTCCTGCAATAGTATTTCTGCGCCGAGCGACGGCTCTTGTGGTTATGGTGTGAAAATTCGATGAATCTTGTTGTATGCGAATATTTTCAGCACGTGCGCGTTTCTCAGCAAGGCGGCTGCTCCGACGGAGATTTTGGCTTCTATCAAATAAAATCAACATTTATTTACAAAAAGAATAAAAATTAAATTTCAACTTAGCTATACATTTGAGGGGATGTTGGTGGTTCCACTGTTGGAATAATTACATTTTCCTCATCTTCAGGAACATCTTCACTGGCTTCTTCTGCTGTTGCAAATGATTCTCCATCTTCATCTTCATTATCTTCATCAGTTGAATAATTTTCTTCATTTTCAGTTTGTGAACATTGTGAAAACTGAACAAGTTGCAGAATTTCTGCTTCTTTTGGATTGTAGCAGGCCCCCGTCACTTGCCAGAGTTTGCTGACGGGACCATCATAAGTGTCCCTAATTAAAATCGAGTTGAATTTTAAGCGATCAACGGGGCACGTGTTTTGCACGCGCGACCAATCCACAAGACATGTGAAGCAGAATCGGTGATGGCATGTATCCGGTGTCCCGATGTGTTCATTCATTTTCGTGAAACAAATTGGACACTCACAATCCAGCATTTTGTGTTCTTTCTGTTTCTTTTTATTTGCGGTAGCCTATATATGCATTACATATGTAAATATTTGAATATTTTAAACAGTCTGCTTACCTTGTTATTTGCGTCCAGCGACAGACGACCACGTTTCGACAAAGGAGCGCCGGTACATTTCCCCATTTTGGACATTTGTGTAGATGTATTGAAAAAAACGTAAAAGCAATTGCACGGTTTGGCGATCGAAAACTGACTGATCTATGTCATAGGCACTGTGGACTGATTGTTTTTTAACGTTTCTCACACGTGACACTTTGACAATGTGCACAAAAAGACTGTAAAAAGTTATAATTTTAAACTAAAACGCGACCCACGCGCTTGTTCTTTCGCGCACAACTCGAGCTGCGCTCAAACATGCGCAACGACACTTGGGAAATGACTTGATTAACTTTGACATTTGAATTTCTGGTTAAAATATAAAAACAAAACAAAAAATGACTGATTTTTACGCAACATGAAGCCTTTGTGGGCATTATACTTATTCTGCTACTGTCACAGTATTTTTTAATTCAACTCCGGTAGAAATTGATTGCCAAATTGCTTCTAATATCGAATATTAACTAAATTAAGTGAAAATTGAAGTATTTTATCACTAAATAAGTGAATTTAATCAATGCAATTCCAAAAAATCAAGCTTCTAAACAAGCTACTATTCTAAAAACGAAACTACGTCCACAATTTATGAAAAATTTACTTTATTATCAATTATTTCTTTTATTTTATAGTATCGAATATGTTGTCGAAATATGTAAAGGAAACAGAATAAAATCAAAGTGATTTAAATCTAAATAAATGGTAGTTAAATGCTAAAAAGTCATTACAGTAAATATAATAAACACAAGTACAAATTAAAACCGTTCGGCCTTCCAATCCTTCAAAACTACCGACGAAAAAAGAAAACAACAAAGAATCAGCAGTCATTTGCATTCATTCTTCCGCCTCAAGAGTGTCGTTCATTGTATACGTCTTTTAAACTTTTTTTTGTTTGCATCATTCGCTTAACGTTATTTTATTGAGTGCTAATATGATCCGCTTACTTCTTCAAGGCACATTAATGAACTGAACTATAGTGTACGGTTAAGTGTGCACCACTTCGAAAATGTTTTTGCGGAAATAAAATGGTAGAAACAGCTTCACTCTCGGCTGGATGTTTGTAAACAGTGTGTAAGTGTGTTACATATGCTCAAAAATGAATAATGTATAATAATAAATTCAAATATGTATATGAAAAATCAGATGATCGTGTGATTGTGCCTGTATCGTCCCAAGAGAAATTCATTTACGGCCGTTGAGTCCGCGGAGGCGCGCAATGTCCCACGGATGCGTACCGTCAAATATTAAAACACATTATGGCAGCCATGGCAGCGGCGACACTCCTCTTCTTAAATGTAAATTTTGTACACGTCTTATTAACTAGTTGCGAGCGAGTTGGGGGAGGTGTCTAGGCGGGCTGCGAGTGCGTGCCGCCCTTCTTGCCAATGAGCGACTTGTGGATGTGCGGAATGACACCGCCGCCGGCGATGGTCGCCTTGATCAAGCTGTCCAATTCTTCGTCACCGCGAATTGCCAATTGCAAATGGCGCGGGGTGATACGCTTCACTTTCAAATCCTTCGACGCGTTACCTGCCAATTCCAGCACCTAGAAATACAACAATTAGTAAAATCAAAAAAATAAATTAATTACTAAATAATGTGTTTAAATTTGTTGTTATTTTTTGCTAATTATAGTTTGCACCAATTAATTATATTGTAAAGCATTGCATTTTTAAGTAATTAATTAAAATTACACATTTCACAATTATTTCCGTGTACAGTAATAACTTGTATTAATTAATTATGAACATTTGCAAAACAATTCAAAATTTTAATTTTTAAAACTATTATCTGGATAAACTTATAGTCCAAAAATTAGCCACTAGGTGCCGCCCAAAAACAGAGGTAAACATAACCTGAGCAGCTTCGAATCTGGCGCGCGCGCTTGAAATAACGACACAAAAAATCCAATCCAGTACTTACTTCAGCGGTTAGGTATTCCAGAATAGCGGCCGAATAAACGGCAGCGGTAGCACCGACACGTCCGTGGCTTGTCGTGCGATTTTTCAAATGCCTATGAATTCTGCCCACCGGAAACTAGCAACAAAAAGCATATATTTAAAAATTTGAAATCAAAAACGGCTAATGACGCTACCACAATATTTGCGATTTATTTTAAACGTGTGAAACAAAGCGTAATAAACATACCTGGAGTCCAGCTCGCGCCGAGCGCGACACCGCTTTGGCTTTCGCCTTACCCGAATCCTTGCCCGCTTTGCCGCCAGCCTGCAACCAAAAAGAATTCCGTCGATTACACTGTTCGTACAAATGCTCACGTCACGAAATCACGCGGATGTACGCCGGATTAATGGTAGAATACACTGACGTCAGTACGATTGCTGTGCTTTGCTTAATATTCGCGAAACTCACCATTTTGTCGGAATCACGCTTGTGGCGTATGTGTGGGACCAAAGTGTATATGTGCGCCCGCGCTTGGGATACTGCTCACACGATCACTGCTAGCCGAATACTGTCGTACGCTAGACGGGCGACGCGTCCGACCGTCGACGCGCCAAATCGTCGCCGCAGCCAATCACGAGCGAATAAACGCGTCACATGACCAAAACCGACGAACCACAGCGCACCGACGCCAACATGGCCGTTATCGATTGTGCGCTGCTGTCTACTTCTCAACTGTTTTCCAAAGCTAGCGACGTTGCGTGCGCCGTTCGAGTTTACGTTCGGTTTGCGAGGGAAAAATTCTAACCGATTCGCACGGGCTCGACGAGCGTCGTCATCGTTTGCAACAAGAAACAACGCCGGGTAAGGGCCGTATAATGTATACAAACGTGTGCTGCACCGATTTGAATTATACCTAATTACGAAGCAAACAATCGAGATAAACGGTAATGACCGTTACATTTAAATGTTTTTGAATGTTTGAGTCAATGCTGCGTCAGCTTTGTTTGCTTTTCGGTGATTTACATTAGTTTACATGTTTATTCATCAATTTCTTTAAAACTTTCTTGATTAGAACAATTACAAAAAGAATTTTTACTATAAAATCATTTACATATTGCTTAGGCCTTAGTGAACACAATGTATAAGTTTAAAAATGTGACTGCTAGTAGTGTTAATATGGCACCAAAAGTTTAAATGAATGGATTTAAACCGCATCAGCGTCGGCGTCGATGCCTTCACACTTTTCATCGATGTCCTCTTCAGCGAGCTCCAGGCATTTAGCCCATTCTTTCAAGGTGATGCGGTGGTTGCTATCCTCATCGCAACCATTAAGGAATGGCGCAATACAATGCTCCAACGACATCAACGGTGCTCGGATTGGGAATAATTCGTGGCGAGACACAGATCTACAAATTTAAAACAAAATTCAAGTTTTCTTGTTATGAACTACAGCGCATGCGCACAAGTAACTCTTACCTATCGTGGGGTTGTCCATCCAAGTCACACCACTTCCAGACAGCAGCATTCGCCCATCTCTTGGTCATATTGGTCTCGGCCTCAGCCTCCAGCCGACGGTAATATGCGGGCAACTCGTCGCGGTCAGCAAGATCGCGCATTATGTTGAAGAGCCAGTCGCGCATGCGACGCGGAAAGTCGGCCATCTCGCCCTCGCTGCATTCAGGCATGTCACGACACTCACCGTAGTATTCAACGTGCACATGCTTGTAGGTCTCGCTCTTGCAGCGCAAATCGCCGGTGTCGCACCAGCATCGATGCTGGTAAATTGCGCAGTCAGAGGTCCAGGTTTCATTGTGATTAGAGCACACTTTGCGGCGCGCTTCTGTCTCCACTGGGCATTCAGAAATGCATTCACAAACGCCAACGTTTTCAGCGTTTGGTACACAAACTCGGCCGGCTCCACAGATTACTTCAGCGCAAACGTCTAAAAACCAAAATATAAAACTTAGTTTTTCATTTTTACTTTAAAAAATTTAATTTTTTTAGTTGTGCTTACCAGGAAGTTGAACCATATTGAACATTTCCGGATCAGTTGGTGCTTCTTCGCGAGCACGTTCGTTCTCACGCAAAAGTTCCTGCTGCTTGGCGAAATCTTCATCCTGATCCATCATTTTGATATTGTCATCTTCAACTTCATTTGTATTTGCGTCGTCCTCTGGTGGTGCAACTGCTTCAGTCGGCCTAGGCTTCCATTTTAAACGACGCACCTTCTTCTTGGCCGCAGTGGTCTCCAACGCCAGGAAGGCGACGACCAGGATTAAAACTAATGCGTACTTCATTGCTGATAGTTTTCAGCAATCTACACAAAATACAAAGTAAAACTTAAAAAAAACGTTTGAGTTTTCATTTAATTAATGACTATTACATATGAAGTGTACTTGAAAAGACACATAAAATATCACGTAGCACTCATTGTAATGGGAAACATGTAATGTGCGAGCAACTTGTTAACTTTCAACGATTGCTGGCTAAATATATCTGCGAGTGTGCTCAATGCGGTTCGCCTTTGATTATTTAAACAGCGTTCGTTCCAATCATTCTGTATTCGCCATTTGTGCAATCAATTAATTATTGCGTGATGAGTGCAATGGTTATTCAATTTCAAATGTAATAGTCAAGATATTTGCTCATTCAAAAGTGTGAAACATTTTTTAAAATTTTTACTTAAACTAAAAGAAATATTTTCAAATTCAGTTAAAAATTTACTGAATTAAAGTTTCAATGACTTGAATACAACATAGATAACTTTAAATTTGTGGGTGTATGATTAAATTATATTATGATGTTTGAATTCGTGGAAATCCGTGCGGAAGTTGAAGGAAACGTGGGCCTTATTGCGCAAAATCACTCCGCCATGCGCATCCGTCCTCGCATCACTTGCATTCGTGTGTGTATTAAGATAAAAGAGTTGATATTTTGTTTATAACGGACATGTAAGTGAACAGCGAGTAGTGAGTTACACATTATTATCATTCGATTAAGGAAGTCGCGTTTTTAATTACTTACATATATAATACAGCACAGAAAATATACTGTGCAGCACAGAAAACATTTAGTTTACACAATCTTTATAAACAAATATGTAGTTTGTGTAAACTTTCATCCTAAATTAGAACTTTTTCGATTTTCGGAACTATGTCATGTCTAAACTCGATGTGATTATGTTTATGTACTGGTAAACTTGCGTAATTATTGAATGAAGGACTGAATGATAACCTATTACACGGTGGACTTGTTTAAGTAACTCCTGATAAAGATTTCAATACGAGGAATTGAACATTAAAGCTACTAAACTGAATTCTAACTGAATTTGCAGCTGTTATTGGCGAACAAAAATATCCGCTGACGAATGTTCATAATTTTCATAGATTGCAAATAGAATTATGTATATTATTGTGTGTGGATGTAAAGTCTAGTTGAGTTATTTTTGTTTTTATTACATTTTCTATTGTGCAAATCGAAATTAGCACATCTAATATAAATCAACATAAACCAATGCTCAAAAACAACTTCAATCGAAATATTGATTCTATTATTATTGAAGTTAAGTGATCTAATCGAAGTATGTAATTGAATTATTCTTACCGGATAAGAAAACAACTCGTTAGTTGGTGTTGTGTTCGGAGCGCACTTTGGAGAAAACTACGTCTGGCTGCCAGCTGGAGCTTTGACTGAGCACTACTGATGAAGCTCAGCTACTCTCCGACTCCAACTTTACCCTACTCACATGCTTTGCTGCTCAAATCAACTTACACTATGACTTCAACTCACATCAACACTGTTGAAATTACTGCATACTTCCATCAAGTCTGAAACATTTGCAACTATCGTATTTACTGCAACACTTCAATAATTTGTTGAATAAGCTTTAAATTGTTGCAGTTACATGTTTCACCTTTGTTGTTTCTGGTTTCCTCGATGTTTCCTGTAAAATAATGCACGTATTAAATGTATATACGTTTTCATTATACAGGCAGTCAGTACCAGTAATTTCATAAACAAACCGACCGTGCAATGAACTGCACATCGGCCGTTTCACGCTTGATCGGTGCACGCTGCTTGCTCAAAGCTCGTGTCGAAAGCTCCAAGTTTATAAATTCGTAGTATACCAGCTGAAGTTATAATGTTGTATAACAACTTCAAAGTTTATACAATCCGTTAAACTGAGTTGAATAATTAAGTTGTTCGGTATTAAATTGTATTTATTTAAGAGGCTACTATTATTTTCGTTCTGGTAGATACTAATTATAGTGAATTACTCAAAAATGACTTTAGAAACAATACCAATTTGTAGAAAATTTTAAAAATTACAAACTGAATCAATTATTTTTCCTGTGCGTCATTGAACTATAAAATTATTGTGTCTTGCACTTGTTTTCATAATAAAATATCTTATTACCTCAACCAGACAGCTGGTTTTAGTATGGATGATCTCATTCTTGCTTTATCTTCGGACTTGAAATCGGTACTTCAGGCGCTGGATGCTGATGAAGAACATGCTCTGGTCCCTGCATAATTTTCTCTTTTACTCTTCGGTTTGTGCATATGGACTCATAAAAAACGTGGGTTTATTCAACGGCCTTCGACAAGCGCAAAAAATGCAACGTTTCCTTTTTAAGATAAAATGAAATACAATGCTCCGCAAGACATATCATATTCAGTTCCATAATTACATTACATTAAATTGTGTTATAGATATTAGTCATAAAAAATGTTTTTTTTTATTCTTTATGATAAAGTAATAATGATCATTGTTTTACCATCTGTTCATGTTGAAAAATGAATCATATTTATTGTGATATTCATTATTACATAAATGTCGTGTTCACTTACACTTGGAGAGTGTGTAGTTGTGTTTTGTACTTGCACATGTTGCTGCAGCACGCAGTTATTTTAAGAACTTATGAAATGATGCGAATCGCCAACTGGTCTAACGAATGTCAGTCATGTTCTTTAATTATGCCGACAAATTTATGACGATTTTGATTTTATGCGCGCTAAAAACTTTTTTAAGCACTTTTTTCAAGGCATTTTTCAAGATTTTCCTAATTTCTACTTTAATTTTAATTAAGTCTTGAATTATTTTCTAATTATTTTAATTATTATAGCCAATGTGAAGTAAATTTGCTGTATACCGCAACAAAATGATACAAAACAATTGTTGATTTTATGCATTCATCAGCAAACCACACGAAAAACCATAGAATAAGCAATAAACTAACTAATGAATACGAGCCAATCAACAAAATGTCTCTAATTGCAAATTACAACGTCTTCAATAAAGTAACAAGTCGAAACAGTCGACGTAAACGCGTAGCGCATTTCATTTGGTTATCAGAAGTGCAACTAGAAGATTCTATGGTTTTTAAAAGCTTAAAAGAGTTGAAAGATCTGAATAACTTTAAGATGTTCTTTAACTTTTACCCTAAAAATATCCACAATGTACGGAAAGGCACCAAAAGCAATATAAAACAATATAAATTAGATATAGTATGGTTTAATGTAATTGCATTATCAATTCTACATATTATTGCTATTTATGGGCTATATCTTTGGCTAATCGCTTGGAAATGTCAATTTTACTCAATGATATTTCGTAAGTATTTGAAATCATCTTAATTTTGCTGTTGGATTCAATTTTTGATGAATTTTTAGACATTTTATGGTCAATATGTGCATCTTTTGGTATAACTGGCGGTGCTCACAGACTCTGGGCACATAAATCGTACAAAGCAAACAAACCACTAAAAATTCTTTATTTGATATTGATGAGTATGATATTCTCGAATGATATCTACACGTGGGTGCGCGATCATCGCGTACATCACAAATTCTCGGAGACTGATGCAGATCCGCACAATGCCAAGCGTGGATTTTTCTTTTCACACTGCGGATGGTTGCTGGTTAAGAAACATCCGGATGTCCTGCGTAAGGGTAGCACGGTTTGTTTTAAAGATCTTGAAGCAGACCCAATTGTTATGTTTCACCGAAAATACTACGGCTATCTGATGCCGTTGGGGACGTTTGTGATACCAACACTAATTCCGTGGTACTGTTGGAGTCAAGAATTGTCGATTATTTATTGTATTCTACGATATATTATCAACATTCACATAGTTTGGTCCCTAAACAGTTTTGCGCACTTATATGGAACAAAACCATATGAAAAGTTAGTTGATATCATATAAATTTACAGATTTACACAAAACAGGAATACTTAATGTCATCTTTCAGAGGAATTTATGCAACTGAAAATACAGCAATGATGTACGTCACAATCGGTGAAGGCTTCCACAATTATCATCATGTATTCCCTTGGGATTACAAGGCAGCTGAATTCGGTAACGATTCGAGGAACTTAACCACGTATTTGATTAATTTCTTCGCAAAAATCGGCTGGGCGACTGAACTTAAAATGGCTTCCGCGGATATGATTAGAAATAGAGCTTTGCGCACTGGTGATGGGTCATGGACGTCTGAAAATGCAAATGAAGGACAAAACAAACGTGACACAATCGATAAACAGTCAATATCGCAGAATTTCTGGGGTTGGGACGATCCAGACATATCAAAACACACAAAGCAGGAAACATTAATTCAAAAATAGTTGAACAGCAAGTAGAAAAGCTTTTTATTCGTTCGTATAGCTTCGTATATAACATTGTATGTTCGAAGTCAGCTTATAAGCATTAATGCCATTAATATTATACAATTACCATTGTCCAACGTGAATAAAAGCTCTGAATCTCTGCGCTGGCAGAAATGATTATCACTAGTATTATTAAATATTCCGAACTAATCTCGTTGAAATTAAATTTCGATTTAAATCACATTTTACCAAACAAAACTCTAGAATGATAAAGTGTACCCATAATACTTAATTGAATTGTTAATTAATTATCTCATCGTGCAATTTGGTATTTTCTTTATATAACCATAACAAAGACATTTGTTGTTAACGGCGAACTAAATTAGATTAATTATACGCGGGGCTTACGCTAGGAATTTGGTTTAACTCTTGAAATTGTTAACAAACAATCGATTTGTTTCCACGTAAATCAACCACGTCGATTCCGGCGCCTGGATCGTATTTTATATGAACGGCAGGCTATAAATTTCAATTTAAATATTATTAATTAAAATAAAACGTAGTTAAAAATTTATTACCATAAATAATGGCGGATCAGTCGGATGTGGATGGAAACCAGTCGATCTACAGTTGGCAATAAAGTCCAAACCATAAGATGGTGTCAGGATAAATATTCCATTACTAAAAACATTGACAAGTTTAACAAAAACAATTTTAATGATTACAAATTGGAACCTACTCGTTATACTTCGGTGCACAGACAATAGCAATCGCTTCAGGCATCAATAATTGGTATGGACAGTGTGTGTGCAAGTCCACACTAGACAAAAACGCAGTTTGCGTTGGATGTGTCTGTAAAAATCAGCAAAAATCAATATTTTCAGGTTGAATTATGTCCGTATATTCAGCTTACATGAATCCACCCAATCGTAATCAAACCAAACTGGTCCTGTAAATCAAAAATTTCCTCCTCGTTCGTCGTCGTACACGAATCAGAGGAACCTATTTGTTTAGGTACAATCATATGCGTAATAATCAATTGATTATGCTCCTATAGATCAATTAAATTTGATAATCAGTTAAAAATATAATTTTATGTGTACAGTTATTAACTTACTAAAATACCGGCGAGAATTCCACAGGTTTCAATATTATTCAGCGTGTTGTGACCAGCGAGCATAAGAAATTTCGCTGAAAGGCACGAGGGTATCACCACAGTTCGTAAACCAGGCGATGAAGTCGATGGCGGACTTGACGGTTTGCTTCCGCGGTCTATTAAAGGTGCGACGCTTATGTTTGACTTTGATGCGCCACTAGATGAGGGAAGTGTTGGCGCGGAAGGCAGTAGATCACCAATTGAAGGTGCTACGGGATCAGTGGATACAAATGCTGACTCGGGATAAGTAATGCTGTCGATGTTGCGAGGCGGTAAGATGACTGAAGTGCCCCAATTCGAACCCTGCGACGTTCTTCGCGCTTCTTCTGTCATTCGCGCTTTGTGCTCGGCGATTTCTTTCAATCTTTTAGCTTCGGCTTCTTCTTTTGCTTTGATACTCTTAAAATTTGCATACAAATAATAATAATTACTATTTTTAGTGATGAAACTCAAATAATGTGATTCTTACTTTGTACTGTTGAAGTTCCTGCTGATACTGTTCTAACAGAAGTTGTTTTAAATTCTCAGCCTTTGGTATAATAGACCTCAATGTCTGCTGGTTGGCACTCCTCATGTTTGGTGGCACTGTGTTAAAATCTGGATGTTTTCTAATCTTTTCAATGAAGAGTGTCATGTACTTCATGTATAGCATATATGCATTCTCCAAATTGCCTTCTTGATGGTAGACATTTGCCATTCGTACCATTTCAACACCAGATCGGTAGTATCTTCAAAATAAATACAAATTTGAGGTGATTTTATGACAGAATTTTCCAGAATTTGCAACATTTAGCACAAATCAAATAAAATTAAACCTTGTTGGCGGAATATGTGGATCTACTTCAATTGAACTGCTGAAATTTGATATCAACTTCAGTCTTTCCAATGGATCAATGGGTTCCTTTTTTAGAGCACTTTGCGACATTTTTACGAAATTTTAAATGTATGTGTACGTCTGAACAAACTGAAATGTCTCGAGAACTGCCACAAATGGTGAGGGAACACACAAATTACCAGATGATTCATACAATCAGCTGATTTCTAACACAAACGCAAACATATTGGTAGAATAAATCTGTTTTAATTATATTATGCAAATACTTAACATTTAGGGTAATATGTTTAATTCTACATGAAATTTAACATTTCATTTTACTGAGAATTAATAAAATCAAATCGATTTTGTTCAGAAATAATTGAAAAATAATTTGTGTATGTCAATTAATTTTAATAGTTATGGCCAACAGATCTACAGAAATAGATGTAAAATTAACTCTTTTTTAGTTATATAGGATTAATTTATGTTTGAAATTATTATTTCTTTGGAAAATGCACTTTGTTCTAATGGAAATTTTATTAAGTGAGCAAACAGCGTTATCCTGCGTTATTGTTTGTTGACACTCTCAGTGAAGGTTACTGTTAAAATCTGCAAGTTAACGTTGTTTTCGCGTATTGTTTTTAATTTACCGCCAAGAGTTATCAATAATCATTGAAAATGGAAAGTGCAGAGTTTGATTGGTCTCTATTACAAAATTATCTTGTAAAAAATGCACCTCCTTCCGTCTATTACATTCCAAACATCATCACTAAAGAAGAGGAAGAATACTTGATAAAATATATCTATGATGCGCCTAAACCAAAGTGGACAAATTTATCTAACAGAAGACTACAAGATTATGGAGGTAAAACAAATTTTTTTTAAATAATTTTAAACTAAAGTCTAAAGTTTATTAATAAATGGAATATGGATGAAGTAAAACTTGAAACTCTGTATTTTAAATTAGTTTTTAATTAAACAATTGTTTAACAACCATTTTCAGGCATTCCACATAAGAACGGATTAATCCCAGACTCAATTCCCGCCTGGCTTTTACCATTCCTGGACAGAGTTTCAGACATTGGCGTTTTTGGCAGGAAGAAATCAACTCAACTACGCGCCAATCATTGTCTCATCAATGAATACAAACCTGGTCAAGGAATAATGCCGCACTTTGATGGTCCACTGTTCACACCAATTATTACAACAATCACATGCAATTCACACAGTGTGCTCGAGTTTCGGAATAATAATGTCGACCGCGATATTGTATGCAAACTAATTTTAGAAAGGGGTAGTCTGGTGATAATCACTGACGATATGTATTCGAAATATTTACATTCCATCGATGAAATCGACACAGATATCATCGATTCGACGATTGCAAACATTGAGCAGTCGTCGGTTAAACTAGGAGACGTGCTTAAACGCGGCACAAGGATTTCTTTGACCATTCGAAATGTTCCTAGGGTTATAAAGACTAATTTGTTTAAGCTAAAAAGGCGGATAATTTAAATTTCTAGATATCGTTTAACTTTCAATGAGACTGAGCTTTAAAATTCGCAGTTTTGTTTGTTTTAAGCATGAAGTATAGATATACTTCATGGTTTTAAGTTTTGCTACATATCAATTGTTTGATGTTATTTTGGTTACCTACTAATAAGGCGTAATAATATACCAATAGCACTATTGGTAAATAATTTTATTAGATTTACTTATTCAGACATGGGTTCAGGTCCTGGACTATTAGTTATATCATCTAGGGAGGTATTCATTGTCTCCTCAGTTTGTTTCTGGTCCAACAGTGTTCTTATCTGATTGGCACTGGAAGACAAAACAGCAAACTGTTTTCTTCTCTTGTCCATGATGTCTTCAAATGATTTCTGTTCTTCTTTAAGATTGTCTAGTTCTACCCTCAATGTGCTCAATTTTTTGTCAGTCAGTGCTCTTGCTGGTTGTTCCTGAATGCTCTGTGCTAACAAATCATACTGCATTCTGTTACCTTTGAGCATTTTGGCCTTTTCCAGCTTGGCTTTGTTTTGTACAATGTTCTGTTTGACATTCATTATGTTCAACTCTATTTCCTGCTGCATTTTCTTGTAATCTTCAAGTTGTCGCTGGTTAGATCGTGTGAGGATGAGAGCACGATGTGCGGGAAATTCACATTGTGCTAGCTGAGCGAGTAGACGGTTGTACATCTGTTCATTTTCAGTTTTGTTGAGGCCGGAACTATTGGACCACTTGATAATACCTTTTATTAGGCTGTTGAGGCGTCTATCATCGCCGGTGCCATCGCCATCAATGAGTAGACGGCGTCTAATTACTTCTTCTGAAAGTTTAATGCATAAGACATGAAATTGAAGTAAATTATGTATAAAATTGAATTAAATCATAATATTTACCGTCGGTCATATTTAGGTTATAACGCACTCTAAGCGTAGATTAGAGACTTCGAGGTTGGATTCTTGGACGACAAACAGGGCCGGTTTTGCTTTTTTAAAAAAAAATATTCTGCTAAACTCGTTTCTATAAATCAAAACTCAATACATATTCAGGTCTTTTTAAAAAATACACAATTGCATACATTTTACAATACACTTTGATCCATTTAACAATACTTAAACCTAATTAAATTAAATCTCCAGGCTATTTGTTTTTGGTTTGTTTTAATCTTAAAGTATGCTTTGAAATAAATATGATCATTTTACTATTAGATTAATTCACCAAAATGCCTCCGTACAAAATAAACATAATCTGAACATTGTCTCAAGTTGACAATCATGTTGGCGAAATAGAAATGTTATTTCTATTTATTCGCGCACTTTGTTCCCGTCGTCGTTCCTCCACCATTCGCTCCAAGTCTTCTTTCATTTTGAGAAGCTCCCTGGTGCGTTGATAAATTGGATCCTATAATTGTTTATATACATTAGAAATGTATTAAAAGTAAAAAACAAACAGTTTTTAAAATTGTTACCTGTGTCCTCATGCTGGGATTCCATCGACAATAATAAGACTTCCAAAGCTGCATGTGACGAATACTTGCGACGGGCAATAAAATCTGCGCTTGATGAATATTGGCCCAATACAATGGGTTCTTGTAATAATCCAAACGAGAATTGGTGAATGACCATAACGATTTTGTTTGTTCTTTTAATTCTGCAACAAAAAAACAAGATTTAGTAACGTATAACATAATAAGTAAATTAATACTTACTTTCATTGATTCTCTCCCGTTCACTGTTACACAAAAACGTGCCAAACCGACACGAATACAACTGATCCAGAATAGTGATCAGGAAATTCTCATTAAACTCGAATGCATTCGGAAACTGCTGCGTAATCTGCCATACGCAATCAATGAACTGCAAAAATACAGGTGATCGATCTGCATCCGAATGATGATCATCTCCGTGCCCGATTCTCTGCTGATATTTGTGTCCAAACGCCAACCACTCCTTTTCAATCAAAATTTCAAAACCTTTAATCGTCCGGTAGTATGGATCCAGCATCAGCATCGATAGCGCAGTCAATTGTGCTGTTCTATCCCAGCCATCCGAGCAGTGCACAAGCACGGAAGTTTTGTGATTCTCAACTTTGTCAACAATTCGCACAGCGCCGGCCAGAATACACTTAATATGCTTAATCCAGTTCGTAGATTCAATACCTGACCACCACCTAGTCTCTTCAATATTCGGAAAACATAAATCTTTAAGTTTCCGCAAAGATTCGCGCATCACGTGAATATTCGGAATGTCCAAGAAAACAAGTTCGGCATTTTGATACGCGTCCTCTGACTCGTATCCGCCACCTTTCGCTTTGTTAGCGATTGCGTTAGCGCTTGGCCGAGCGTCCATGATGAACATTTTGTGACTCTGCGCGTTGGCGTCCATGATGAACTGAATGTAACGCTCGTCTTCTCGGCATCGTTTACCGCTTACGCCGACCAGCGGTTGTGAACAACGTGTTATGGTCGCTTGTGAACCTTGGTGGATCCAGCTGAGGACAGGTATTCGCCCGCGACTACGGAAACTCGCCACGGCGCGGAGATCTTCGTCTGTTGCCTGTGATGGCACTGCCCAAACCGCCGGATAACTATCGCAGATTTCATAGTTTTCGTTTATTTTTGATATTTTCCACATGTCGTTGTTTATACCCTAACAAATACACAAACACAATCAATTTCTATCACAAAAATGTTGATTCTACTCACCATTCGCTTTAATTCCGCAATGGGTTCATAGACATTCCAGCCATTCTCCGGGAACACTTCTGAATATTCAAACGGAAACAATTTTAGTTTATGAGACAACGGGAATGCATACTGCTGCAGTTTTTCAAACACATCGCGCCTGGAATGATTTTCCTGCTTGTGCGCAAATCGTAAATTTCTCATGTCTTTGCAAAACAACTCAATGCCATAAGCATTCTCGCCTTTCGATGATGCACCGCCGACTTTCTCAATGCGTGACACGACTCCCAGCGGCACGTCGATGAAAATTGGCATATCCTTGTCCAAGGACTTGAAGAACAATTTGTAGTTGGTGATAATCAACGTGCCGCGTGCCGGACCATTGTAGGGACAAAGATAGGTCACGTCTTTCGCTTGGCCATACCGTTTTTCACCCGGTAATAAGGGCATTTCATCTCTATTTGAAAGTGTAGCATCAGTGGTTGTATTGATCTGAAATACAAAGCAAAACATTAGTGACCCATTTTCATATATGGTTATTGTTAATTAAATCTTCTTGAACTACATAATCCATCTAAAGTATAGATTTTAACTTGTTAAATTCTTGTATGGTGGGTGTGTACCTTGTGCCTTTCAAGTGTGGAAACAACATTCTCAGTAGATGTAGAGCTAGATGAACAATAAGACTTGCTCGGCGAAGCGTTACCCCAACCAGGCTAAAGCGGAATACAAATTTTAAGCGTAATCTTAAAACCAACATTCGGTTTACGTACATTATCAAGTTTTGTGGTGTTGATCGTGGCAGATTTGCCTTCCGGCGACGAAAACGAGTCAAGTGAACGGTTCTTGTGGTAGTTTTGATTCTCCAAATTCAGCAATTCGATGCTGCCACGCTTGTCCATGATTAACACAGCACTAATAACAATAATTTCTGTTTTCTTGAATTTTAATCTGATTACTAAGTTGAAAAGTTTCTTAACTTGGTTCGATTAATCTGTTTAGAAAATATCTGACAGATAGAATAACCTCAATCTGTTGATGCTTTTTCTACAGGGAGTTGCGGCTAAGAAATGAGAATAAATTACTTAAATTATACAAAAATTGCAGGAAAACCACGACTTACCAAACCATCTTCATTGTTCTACGATTATTTTGTAAATAGAGCTTCAAATTTTTCCAAAAATCATTTATATATATATAACTATAATCTAATCTTGTAAAATGATTACAAACTTCAAACTATTATCAACAAAATAGATAAAATATTTGTCACCTGGAAGCTCAAGTGTTCACAATGGATTATTTACAAGTACAGACAACAAAAGCAAAGTATTTCCTTTGTAAAATATTAAGTTATAATTTAATTTCTTAAATATTAGTATTGATATCTTAAAATTAGATTAATTTTATGACTTAAAACTAATTCTAGGGCATATTTCCTAGTCTTTTATAGTCTATTTTCTCCAACTGCACCAGTGGTCTAAGTTGTTCAGCAAAGATCCTCATTTCTTCAGCAACAGCATCCTGATTTGATGGTGCAAGCACAGACAACTCCACCAGATAACTCTGACTGATTGCCTCCACATTAGTATCTCCAATCTTCTTGAAAACCTTACTAACTGTAATCTTCATCCTTCCCTTCCTGAACATGTATCCTCTTGAAATGTACTCAAAATCAATTCTGCAACCCAATTCAGTCAGGAACTCAACCACAGTGGAACTACAAGCCATATCAATGCTGGACCGGACTACAGTGGGTCGATTTTTATCACCCAGCTCATGTTGTCCAACATATCTCAGTTGCCAAGGTGCATCTGTGACATCCAGAGCTCTACGAACTCTTAGAGGAAGCACCATTGTTGCCACAGCTGGTGTGTTTCCTCTTAAAGTAAAACATAATTCCTGATCGTGGAAGCTCTCCGGGCCAGCATCAACGTTGTCGCATAAACCTCGTAATCTATGAAGGAGAACCTCGACATATTGATCCAGAACAGATCCTTGGAGAAGGTATTCTTGGTTAGGGATAATATTACTTTTTAGTGCAGCATGTAGTGAGTCCACAGCAGATCCAGGCACAGCCATGTTAATGTTTTAAAATACTTTCGGGGTATTATTTACGATATTTGCCAAGGCAAATCTTCGGTCTTCGGTAACCTGAAAACTAAAACAACTTGTTTTACTTACATGAAACCACAACTTTCACTCTATGCAACTCAATACACACCAAACGTTCAATATCATTTGGAAGTAAACAGTTTTTAAAAAAAGTTTATTTTATAAATAATATAGACGCGAGTGTTAGGTGTATTTGCCAAATAGTGAACACTTTCCATACAAAACGTGTACTTTTGGTTCCTGGTCTAAGCAACCACAATACTTTGATATCTCCTTCTTCAGTCTCTGGTTTTCTTTCCGAAGAAAATCGCACTCTCCTGCGAGTTTATAGCGACATACTTCAACACTCGCCACTCTATTCCAAAAGATTTCCATATCTTTGTATGCTTGGTCACTCTCGTGGTTAAAATTCTTCTTATTACTAGTTTTATCTTCGTACAGGGGAAACGACAGTATTTTCTCTTCCTTGGTTTCCAATTTTCGGCAAACATCAGAGAATGACAGCAATTTTGTACCTTTCTTTTCAATTTCCTTCATCGTATTTATGATCTCGTTACTTTGAAGGCACAGAGATGTTAGATTCTCTTTGTCCAAAGCCCTTTCTTCGTCGTAGAGCTTTTGTTGCAACCTGAATTGTTTCTCGTAGTAATTTGCTTCAGTCGCTAAATCCTTAACTGCTCGATTTTGTTTTGTCTCGAATTCTCCGAATTGATCTTTGAGGTTCTTAATTTTAGCGTAATGTCTACCAATTTTATGCCATGAATTCCTAATAGCGTTGGTAACTTCTTGATCCTGTGCATCTAGGGCAAAAAACTGCTCTTTTCTTTGACGGAATTCCTCGGTGAATTGCTTGTGAAACGCTTCTGCTTCATTCCACATCTTCTGCCAGATCAAATTCACTTCACCGATGTACCTAGAAGTAACATCATACAATTTTGTATTTTCCACTTCCAGCTGAGCAAGATAAGCGCCCCGATCTATCTTGGTCCTTTCCTTCCGTTGTTCATCCTGACTATACAGCATCGTCTTGAGGTAGTCCTCATGGTCCATAACGCTTTCCAAAACTGCTTTGCTTTCAAACGTAGCAGCCTTGTACAGCGCCATGATTACCTTCCTGGACTCCTCCCAGATATCGTTAATTTGATCAATGTATAACGTGATAAGTCGATCGATGTTGTCCACTTGTGCCTTTACTTTGCGTTCATATTGTTGATCAGACTGCGTCAACTCGTCGAGCAGTAACGAGATCGTAAAATCCTTCGAATCGATAATGTACTCAAAAATGTGCCATGCATATTCGACTTCATTGCGTAGTTGTGGGACAGCAATGCGGTGCAGCATTTCACGCCATTTTTTCTCATGGCGTCGGACAGCTTCAGCGCTGTATTGAATTTCGCGCTTTAATTCTTCGTTGCGCTGAAGAATGTTGAATTTTTCAGCGGCTTGCGCACGTGCTTCTTTGCTTATTTTTACCCCTTTCTTCTTGTCTGCGGACTTCTTCTTTCCTATTATGGGCATTTTTATTGTAAAAATAAATGTAAAAATCTTGTAAGTGCAGTAGGTGACGTATTAATCTACAAACTGATTAAAATCTGTCAATAAATGTAATAAATTATGTTTTGATTAATGTGTTACTTTGACATCGCCAGACAAATCATCACACACTGGATTAAAAATTGTTAAAAGTGGTAAAAACATAATTTTAAGTTAAACCCATGATTTTTTATTCGAAAAACAGTAATTTCTCTAAATATGTTACAAATTACAAATGAAAAGTCAAACTTGCAATCTCTCCTGCTCAGCTGCAATATCCTCCGTCATTTCTGTAATAAAACTGAAGCAAATGCTTATGCACTTGACCCATGCTTTGATAGCGTCATGTCGTTTAGACTGTTCTCCAATGTGATCAGAAATCACGCTGACGATACACTTCCGCAGTCGGTCATAATCCTCGCTCGGTATCCTTTTCGGTATGTGATAAATCGCGTTCTTCCTCAGAATCGGATAGATACTATTTGGCCGATTCAATAACATCACCATTGTATCAAACTCTCGAATAAACTGCGAGGTAAATCGATCGAAACTGTCATCTTGCGGACCCCTAAAGGCCCAGTAGTTGGCAAAATGCGGATAGTCGTTGAGCATCAACAAGAACAAACTGACGCTAAAGTCACGCATCTGCGGACGAATTTCGGTCCATGTATCCATAACCAATTTTTTTTCTTGCGGTGTTATACTATTATAGCGGGCTGAGCCAAGACCCATTTTGACGGTTAATTTATCCACTTCGAAATAATATCTGACAATTTAATTTCACTGACAGTTTTTTCCTTTTTGGCAGTTTTTTTTCTATTCTAAAATGCCTCCGAAAAGAAATCGCTCGAAAAGCCCACAAAAGACAAAAACAAAAAAAGCTAAACTAGCAGAAAAACATGCTGCTAAAGTCCAACATGATAGAGACATCTTAGTCGAAACCGAGCATGACCATATATATAGAGAAATAAAGTACGGATCCGAGTGTGTACGGAAACATGAGAAGAATTGGCGAGATCTCCTGATCAAAATTGCACAACCACAGATGAGGGTAACCGTAGAATGTGCAATGCATCACTTCGAACGTGCCATTGACTCGAAAGATTTTGAAATATCTTTATTGTTAGACGAGTTGACAGCAGCGGATACACAATATGTGCGTTCTGTGAGTTCACACATCGACGATATTGATCGCATTATTGTCTTGTGTTACGATCAAATCGCTGAATTATGGCAAGAGTCAGGAAATATGATTTCGAATCTTTACCGGGCAGCAAACCAAGAACGCTCCGAAGTGATGCATATCGACAATGAGCATGAAATCTACCTTCGAACAATGCTGTTTCAATTTGCGGAAAATTCTCGGAAGCTAGGAAGACTCATGCGATACGATTACTTATCGCGACAAGAAGTGGAAGTCTCTAGATTCACTGAAGAAGCCACTAAGTTCAATGTCGAGTGGAAGGACTATTCATCAAAGCTCTGGGATGATGCCGAGGAGTTCATGCAGAAGTACAAAAGGGATTTTGCACGGCGCAAGAGGCAATGCGAGGAATTAAACAAAACCGATGCAGATATGCAGATACAGCTCGCTATGTTACAAGAAAAAGCACGGGAAGCATACAACACAATGGACCAACTCAAAACAAAACATGAGTTAATCCAAAGTACGCTGGGTAAAAAAGTTCAAGAACTTGTTTTGGAACGAGATTATTACAAAAACATCGCAATACGCCTGAAAACAAATGAACGAGAAGCACGAAATATTGATCAAGAGAAACTTACAGCTCTATCATTGATCTGTAACGATGTTTTGGCATTTGTGAAGGCGTGTGAAAAGCAAGGAGAGAATTTGTTGTCATTGTGTGGACTTTGCAGCAAATTTGAGACTGAGAATGAGAAATTCCTGCGTTTTCCAACATTTGAAAACTCCTTGCCGCAAATTAGTGCAGAAGAAAAAAGCGGTTTAACTCTGCGACCTCCGAGACGTGTCCGTAAAAGTACGACAATAGATATCCTCAGAAGGAGTTACTCTGAAGAGGTGGTATATTTGAACGAGTTGCAATTGTTCTGGTTACGTTATGGTGCTGTAGAAACACAACGATTGCAGATACAGGAAGAGAGCGCACGTTTACGAGAAGAAAACGATCGTTTGAAGAAGACAGTCTTTAACTATTGTGAATGCTTGTCTTGTGACCAAGATTTAGACTATTTGTATGTTAATAACAGATATTCCAAATAGTTAACACTATGGTTAACTTGTTGTGGAATATTCAAAATCAATAATAAAAATCAATCAATCGAAACGTGTTTGACGTGTTTTTAGGTCATTAAGATCGCGTCAACACTCTGTATTCGCGCGTTTAATTAAGCACACACGACAAAGTCATTCATTTCGTTATTTCGCGGTGAGGACGAAACAATCATGTCGGAAACCGCGCGCGTTTCATCAAGTTTCAAGGAACCAGCGACGGACTCGTCGATTACGCGTGTGTGATTACGATGCGCAGACCGAAAGAGGAAAAGTGCAATTAGCACGAATACATTCGCACGTAATGCAGCAATTACGTGCGTTGACGACACGCGCATTCATTGGATGTGTGTGTGAATTCAGTGGCGAAAAGTCGCAAAACGGGCGAAATTGAACTTGATCAGCCATTTGCTAATTTTCAGACGTTCCAGCCACGCGTTTCCTCAGCGAGTTTAATTGGAGAATTTCAAGAAAAAGAGCATTTAGGCAATTAAGTCCTTGGCGAGGACAATTAATAGATGCGATTTTATTAAAAGTGCATTTTCTACTTTTGTTTGGATTTATGTGTCGAGGTGAGTGATATTTTCATTCGTTTCTGCACAATCATTCGAATCAATTTGCTTATTAAAAAAATACTAGTTGAATGTTCAATAAAAGAGTAATATACTCGTAGGTTATTATTTGTATGTGAAATACTGAGTTTTATGGTATTTATGCTTGAATAAGTAACCGTCAGATTCATTTAAACTATTTTTATTTATTTTTCCAGAAAATTAATATTTTAACCTTTTAAAACTCTAAAATCTACAAAAAATTAATAATTTGTTATGTTGGGCTAAACTTTTAACCAAATTTCTTCTTATTTCTTAATTAAACGGAAAAATTTAAGTTAACGCAGATGTAATATTGGTTGCCTATATTATTGTAGCTGTTGATTAGCAGTGTTGCCGTTTTCTTCAGCAACGCCGCATAAAATGAAATAATCTGATTATAGATTAATGTGTACTAAATATAGAATAAAACAGTTAATATTGTGATCTACATTTATAGATCGTCCAATCTGGTAAACCTTAAACACCGTTTGCAAATTGTAATCGCAGCCGGCCCTCGCTTGCATATTCAGTGCGTTCAAGTACTTATACAAGCCGGACAAAATGGGAAGCGGCAATCAAATTTGTCGCCGCTTCCCAAAGCCATCATCATAACTCATTATCAGCGTCATCATCACCGACGTCGTCGCGCGCGACACTCTAGCCCTATGTTTAGTCACATCTCAAAAGTCGAAATAATCGCACTGCAAATACAGTTTTCCAACTCGAGCAAAAATTTGCATTCAAACAACGCTTGAAATAATTATGTTTTAAATAAACTTCGAAGCTTCATCTGATAACAATGCTACCTGTTACCCATGTGATATATCCTCGTGGATTTATATACGTGTCTGATAATTTGCGTGTGTTCCTTGTTTTTGGATAAAGTTTACAGCAATAATTACTGATTTGTTTCGGTAAGTTTTGATTTGTTTGTGACTATTCATTCGATTTAATTTAAATGCAAGTACACACGTTAATTTAGTGGATTTTAAATTAAAGGAATTATAATACCATTATGGCGTTTTATAACGTGTTTTCGAAGTCACACAATGACATGAGTATATTTGCACATGCGAGATAATTACGGGCATTACGTCTATCATAGGTAATAACAAATTCGATCGTGTGTGTTTGTATACTAAACATGATAAATTGCGAATGTCAAAGTGATTGAGTCTCAAGCAAAGCGCAAAGCTATAAATTTTAGTTTATTGTATTTACAATGTTACAATGCAAAATGTTTAACAAAAAGAATAAGAACAGACTTTGCTTTTTAAAACTTTTACAACTTAAAAAAAAAAGTTATGCTTTTAAACTAAATATTATTAATACATAATTAATAATATTTTTCTATGTCCACCTATAAAGCGCCAGTTTTTCATCGGTTTTTATTAACACAAAGTTGTACTTTATATACGGATGGCCAAGACGTGAGTAAAATACTTTATTCACGTGCTTTAGTCATGGGGTGATTACATTTCCTAATAGTGTACGAGCGAATTTCAAGTATCAAGTGGCAAAACGTTGTTAAACACTCGATTTATTAAACACTCGCTGCGCTCTCGTGAGTAAAGTCCAAGTTTAGTCACTTGGTACTTAATATACCACATTGATTTGTTAAATTTTCTTCCATTTCGATTAACAGAAGACCTATTAAGACCGACAAGTAGCTTCTTGAAATATTTAAAAATTGCATAATTCTAAATTGCACAAATACAGAAAAACAATAAATTGTTAAATAATTGTCTGTAACTAATAAAACTTGCGTTTTCTAAATGTTGTTTTGAAATTTGCGGTTTTTTTAAAACCATAAATCTTATCTAAGTTACAAACAAACTAATCAATTACATAATATTAAAAAATTCACACTACAACTTAGCAATTCAAAGAAAAAAAAAAACTTCTGAAAGCAAGTTTATCGATAATTAAGTCTTAATTCGTTTGAAAAAAACCTCAAAACCCAGCACCACAAAAAAAAGAAGTTGTTTCAAACGGTGGGTGTGCGGCACACGTCGCCGATAATTGGTTTGTTGCGGTCGGCCAGCAATGATGGTCGTGCACGCCGCCGCCGTCGTCGTCGACTTCATAGTGGGATTTTATCACAGCCCGCGCACATTGCATGCCGCGAAACGAACGAAATAAAAATAATCGACGCGAACGCATCGGCGGCATCGCGCGCACGCTCTCCTCATTACCGCACCGTCGCGGACGCGCACCAGCTTAGCTTAAGTCACGTCCAAAGCCAGCTCGACATCGGCATCCTTTTCCGCGCGAGGAAAAGTCGCGCAGACCAACGAAAGTTATACCTATCTCAAACTCGCGGCGAACAATAGCGCGCTTCTTGGCAACAAACGAAAAGTAAAAGTCACGATAAACGTCAACAAAGAGTAATCAAGTAATTAAATTCAAAATAAAATTAATCACAAATATTTATCTGAATATTAACTTTTAATACGTGAGACAATAAATAAAACACTTCATGATTTAAAACGGGTAAGTTAATAATAATAAAATTTTAAAAAAACTCAGTCACCACTGTAAATATTGAAATTACTTTCGTTTTAACTCATGTTATCATCGTCCGAAACGTTGTAGATTAAATTATTATCATTACAAATTAAACTAGAAATTATCTTGCTGGCTTTAATTAAATTCCGAATGCATTATATGCGAATAATTGAATCTGTGACCAATTTTCGTTTCAAGGTCCCCAATGAATAGAAAAAAATCGGTTTGATTTAGATAAATGCATTGCAATGCCCTACCTTGACTAAAACAGTAAATTACCGATGAAAAATAGATTCTACCATGCGGAACACAGCTGTAAAGTGCAAATTACAGAACAAAATTAATTAAACAAGAAAAAAAAAGAAAAAACGTTAAAATCAAATAAAATTAATATAATGACATGCAATTATAACTAAATAATTTTTTTATAATGATACGACTTAAGATAATTTAAAGATTCAAGGATAATCTTCGTGGTCAGGGTGTGATATATCCGTGTTAGAACGTCAAATAATTACGCAATTCGAATCTATCAACTTAAGCACACGATTACAAAATAATTCGCGCACGAATACACGAATACAGTAACTATTTATTAGCTTCGATATAAATGGCCGTACATGCGCATTATTCGCAAAACATTAAAATTGTCCTTCGCGATTACATAACCGGTGTTCGATGATCAAGTGATCAAGTGATACCTACGTCTATACGGTAATAAAGTTTCGGTGTGAATTTTTGAGTGTGTATTAATGAATAACGGTACTTAAATCGTTTCAGGTTGTAAAGTTATACCGAAGAGATTTATTTATCATGTTGGTGCAATGCGTGCAGTGCGCAAGTTTGAAATAGAAAGTGTGTTGTAATTTGTGTAATGTGTAAATGCGATGAAAATCGACACCGATCGGAAAGTGGCGTCGTGTCGGATTGCATTTAACCGGTTACTATTTATTCTGAAAATGAAATTAATACGTCTTTAATCAATTTTTGCCTCTAGTCAATATTACAAAGTTGAAGGCATTTCAAGAGGTTTTAGTTAAGGTTAGGTCGGTTGAACACTATTGATGCCAATTGTTTCTTTGACAACTGATTCAGGAAGTAGGCAATAATGCCAACAGTGCCATGTGAATTATATTTACTTAAATGAAGACAATTTTTTAAAATCTAATTCCTCCTTAATGGATGCAAAATGTATGTTTCTAAATTCTTTTCACTATTTTTAAATTTGTAGGTTACGATTTGTAACTTTTTAAAATTTTGGTCACACATATCACGTTTAATATACAAATGACCTTAGAATGACCCCAAAAATACACACTATTTGATTTATACATGCAATAAATAATTAAAATCAATGTTCAATGACCCAAAACACGTAGATACGTTAAATTGTATTCGAATTACAATTTTATTGCCATTTTTCCTTAAAAAAATTAAAACAAAAGCAAATCTATTTTAAAGTACAAAAGATGTCTTGAGTAATTCCTGTGCAAGTGTGCATATTCGCATTTCGTGAATTGCCAATAGTTTGCACGTCAAACTACCGTTTGAGATTGCTGCGTTTGTTGCATTTCGCACGCAGACAAAGAGCAGGAATTTGTCGAGTATCTACACGAAGCGTACCTGGGTTATTATCGCTCAGGTTGGCCATAATGGCCGCTGGCGTTTCCCGCATTTCAATTCAGCAGCAGATCCGTCGCATCGCAATTGCACACGCATTCGTAACAACACGCTTAACTTTGCTAGTGTTGCGACGAATTTACAAAACGGGCCTTTGCTGGCAACTTTGTTGGCTTAACTTCTTTGCTTCTCGGAAGCCCGCGCCGAAGAAGCTCCCAAGGCGTTAGAAACAAATAGATTCCGCATTCCTGCGCGCGCGTTTATATTTTGTTTGCGTTGCTTTACCAAATCAAATATTTGCGCATCAATAAACATTGATTTACCAATCTTTAATAAAACGATTGAAATGAGTAATTTCACATTTTCAGACAATTAACGATTTGACTCATACGAAAATAATCACGTTTGTTATCGACAATGACGACGACAATCAACACTACGGCAGCCGAAAAGGAGAAAGAAGCGCAGAACAATGCCAATTACGCGAACAACCTCACCATGAACGCGTTGAATACACTGTCAAACAACAACAATCCAACGGCAGACCCTTCAAAGGATACCAAACAATGGCAGGACAAAACTTGGCGCGAGAAATACGCGTTTATCAAAGAAAATATTACGGTGGAACCCATGATTGCCTGTTATATCATGCCGTGTGTCTTCGCTGGACTCGCCGTGCAAAATTTAAGTATTGAAAAGGCCTGTCGAGTTAATCTTGCGTATTCCGACGAGATTTGCGATGCGCTAAGTGCGAGAAACACAGCGAATTATACTCGGGAAGAAGCCGAAGTGCAACAACTCGTCGCATCCATGACGGTTTGGAAGACTATCCTACAAAGTGGTTTCCCAGCGTTTTTAATCCTCTTCGTTGGATCATGGTCGGACCGCTGGGGTTTACGGAAACCCTGTATGCTTCTACCGATCATCGGAGAATTCATCACAGTGATTGGCTTGATGCTTTGTACGTACTTTTTTTATGAATTACCAATGGAAGTCAACGCTGTAATCGAAGCCATCTTTCCGGCGTTGACCGGTGGTTGGTTCACAATGTTCATGGGAATATTTTCGTATATTGCCGATGTGACAACGCTGGAAATGCGGACATTACGTATAGGCGTCGTGAATGTTTTCTGTTCGCTTGGAATTCCTGTTGGGTTGGCCCTGAGTGGAATTCTGTTCAAAAAGATTGGTTTTTATGGAGTGTTTTCCATTTCGGCCGTGATGTATGTGATTGCGTTCCTCTACGGGTACTACAACATTAAAGAAACGAAGAAAGTGGATGTGCCAGTGCTGAGTGACAAACCATTTGCGTTCCTGCGAGACTTTTTTGACATCAAGCACATAGGCGACACCTTTCGGGTAGCGTTCAAACAAGGCGAGAACAATCGCAAGATCAAGGTTATGTTATTGATGTTGGTTGTTATGGTTGTCATTGGACCTATGCATGGTATGTACATATTCTAAACATATTATTTGTTGTGTTTTATTTCGTGTTACGTGTCGCGCTACTGAAGGACATGCAATGTTTACAAACGTGATGATTGTTTGCACTCATTGTCAGTAAAAAAATGCAAATTTCTATGTTTTGCAAACAATTAACGGAACTTTCTAGCCTTGATTTATAACTTGATTGACAGACGAATTTGTTGATTAATTTTCGAATTTGCTTTTCGACGTGTTGAACTCTTGACATTGATTTTTACAACCGAACACTGAATGCAAAACACGTAAAAAAATACTTGAACATAATTTACAAAACATTCAATTATATTATAAAAGTACCTATTAATGTTTATCGCGTAAACATTCTTGTTATTGATGTGGCGGTATGAATTTTTGTTTCTGAACGTGATTTTTTCTGTTGCTATCAGAAAACCGGTCGTATCATCCGAGAAAAATGTAAACCATCGCACGAGTCGTCCATTAATAACAACTAATTATGTGTACCGCTAACTTTCCAATTATTGCACAAATGTGCAAACATGCAAATCGCTAACTTGTCGTCGCTTGCCAATTCCGTAACAAGCGACATGACAAATCACAAATGAATTTCGAAACATGTTTAAAAACAAGCCACTTTAAATTTTTAATGCATAATAAAACATTTATTATTTATTAATCTACTGGAATTTGACATTTTTAAAGGTGAAATGGTCGTGTTGTATCTCTTCACACGTTTCCGATTTAATTGGGACGAATTAGACTACAGCATCTTTTCCACGTATAATATGATTACAAGTTTAATTGGTAAATTTAATATAAATCGCTAGAAAGTGATTTTTCATTAATATTAATAACGTTTCAGGTACATCTGTGTCTGTGGGACTTTTTAGTCATTTACTCAAGATTGATGATGCTATCATCGGTGTCATATCATGCACGAGTAAAGTGCTCTCAAGTTTTGTTTATGCTTTCGCCAAAACCTCACTTGTGTTTTATCTTGGTGAGTAAAAGTCACAACATCGAGCAATGCTAAGAATTTCATTGTTTTCATAAAGTTTTACAATCGTAAAGTTAAATTTTATGACTTATGAACAAATTATAAATGCATTTCAAGTTAATGGCGTTTATGATTAACTATATTTGCTTGCAAATTGTTAACTTTTTTGTTCTGTTCTGTACAGGAGCAATTGTGGAGATTTTCAACGGCACCTCGTTCATTGCGATGCGCTCCATCGCCTCGAAACTTGTGCCAAGTGAAGAACTAGGTATTTTTTTCTATATTCTATGCACAAATGCACAAAGAAGTTTTTTTCGAGATTTACCTTGAGTTGTTGAGAGCTAAATGAGCGCTCAAGAGCAATTAGAGCTCTTGGATTGGCTTTGTATCATTGATTAATGATGGCAAGGACGTTGAATGATGATTTCGCAATTGCAATTATCTTCAATTGATTCATTTGATTTGGTAAAACTAGAAACTCTAGATGTGTCTAGGCTCATGTTGCACATTGTCTTAATATAGGCAACTTCTTACACTCTATTTGTGTATTCTAATGTTTCAGGTAAAGTCAACTCTTTGTTTGGCGTATGTGAAGCTTTAATGCCCTTGGTTTATGGGCCAATGTACAGTGCGACGTACGCTGCTACAATGACAACATTCCCTGGAGCTTTCCTCCTTCTTGGAGGAACCGCCACTATTCCCGCTGTTATCATTTTTGCTTGGATGTATTTCCAAACGAAAAGAGAAGAACGCAATGCGATTAAAGATGGCGCCTCGGCGGAAAACGAAAAGAATGCAAATTTAACGACTGATACGTTTGGATCTCACCAGATTTTAGGCAACGAGAATGCTGCGTTTGAACTGGAAAAGTATAAGTTCTGAGAATGCAAAGAAAGCTTTTATTCATTTAAACAATACTAGTGATATCTTTACAATAAAAACAGGATCAAACTCCAGCAATATACACACATTTGAAATTGAAACAAACACACGAAATAATATTTTAATGTGATATTAAAATTTAGTTTAATTCTTTGTCGGGTTGCAGCTAAATACTTATTATTGTAAATTATGTTTTGATTAGTGTTTAGTAATTAGAGTTAAATGACGTATTAGTTTTACTTTTAATGATGTCAGCAAGAGAAGATGCTTTTATTGTGTATACAAAATGTATTATTATGCGTTACGAGTATAAATATAGATATATAAAAATATATTTATTTATTAAAATTACAACGTGATTTTGGATTTACAGGTTTTATTTTTGAGTTTTACATGTTTTGCCCTGAGGGCATCTGCAGAAACTGATTTTGTTTTGTGTATTAGGGGGTTTTATTTGTTCGTTTTGTAATTCGTGAATGATTTTGTGTTTGTAAATTTGAATGTGTTCTTTAATGTTTAGGTATTTGTCGGTTGATGATTTTAATATTGTTAGTGTGTTATCTATTGTGTCGTGTATGGAGTTTATTTGTTCGTTTAGTAATTCGTGTTGTAGATTATGTGTGTGGATTTTTGATTGCATTTGAGTGTTCTTGATATCGTATCTGCATGTTTCTATTTGTTTTTCCTATATATATTTTCTTCCATGTGTACAGATACGATACCAAGAATACTCAAATGCAATCAAAAATCCATGTAAAACTCAAAAATAAAACTGAATAAAACTGTAAATCCAAAATCACGTATAATCTATCTATATATATAAAAGAAAGTCGTGTTGGTTAACTCTATTATAATTAAAGAACGGCTAATTCAATTTAGCAAAAAATTGGTGGAGAGGTAGCTTAAGGCCAGGAGAAGGTAGTGGGATACTTTTTGAAGTGAAAACGCACTAAACGACACTAAGAAGAGACAAACATATTTGCGTATATGGATTATCTTGCGGGAGAACGCAAATACAAAGTTTTCTATTATCCCCGTCTCCTCTTTGTGCGATGCTTCGTAGCATAGACGTGTGTATGTGTGTACGTGTGTGTTGAAGTTGACCGGTTGATGTTTTTGTTTGGAGAAGGTTAATAGGATACTTTTTGAAGTGAAAACTCCTTTAGAGAACACTAAACGACACTAAAAGGAAACAAACATATTCGCTTATATGGTTTAGCCGACGGGAAAAAAAGAGCACACAAATATAATGTTTTCTATTATCTCCGTCTGCCCTTTGTGCAATTCGTAGCTTCCCCCTAAGCATAGACGTGCGATTCGTAGCGTCCCCCTAAGCATAGACGTGCGTGAAACGTTACATTTTTAAAGGAAACCGCAACCCAAGTCAGTGTAAAAGGAAACAAACATATTCGCTTATATGGTTTAGCCTACGGGAAAAAAAGAGCACACAAATATAATGTTTTCTATTATCTCCGTCTCCCCTTTGTGCAATTCGTAGCTTCCCCCTAAGCTTAGACGTGCGATTCGTAGCTTCCCCCTATACTAAGCATGACGTGCGTGTGTTTGTACGTGTTGGTTGAAGTTGCCCGGTTGATGGGTTTGTAATACAAACTTTGTATGAATAAGACTTAGTAAGTGTAGGATACTTTTTTTAATACTTTTTGAAGTGAAAACTTCTTTGGAAGATACTAAACGAGTTTTCTCCGCCTCTTCTTTGAGCGATGCTTCATAGCTTCCCCACTCAACATGCAGCGACCAAAACGATCAAATCTTATCCGACAAAACCGTAATGCAACTAGGATTCGAAGGATTGCGAATGAAAGGACTGAAGAAGAACAAAAAATTGCACGTGAAAAGCGCCGTATTAGTATGACTCGACTTTGTGCTGCAAAGCGAGGCGGAACAAAGTTTGCCGGGTCAGCTAGTTTTTAATAAATAAATATTATTTTATAAATATACAACATGGATTACGTATTCAACATAGAAAGTTATAAAATCCATGATATATACATATATATATATATATATATATATATATATCTTTTATATTATTACTATTTTACACTATATATATATATATATATGTGTTTATAAAGTATTAAATATATAAATATAAATAAAAGAAATGAACAACATTTGATAAGAGAGCCGCGTGGCTCGGTGGTACCTAGCATGTGCTATAATATCCTGGATCGTTGGTTCCATACCTGTTATAGAAGGCATTTTTCTCAAATATAAAAATAATAGGTGTGATTTGGGTTGCATATGTAAGTTCAGTGCAAAACAATAATACTTGCAGAAAAGACGAACATAGAACATAGAAGCAGGTAGAACGGGAAGAGGAATAAGCGGCGTAGTAGAAGAGAAGATCTCAATCCAGGCAAGTGTAGGAAAAAGAGGAGGCGCTGCCACCCTGAAAGCAGGAGTGAGCAGCTCACTACTTCGATGTGTCCATTGCTCCCGGCCCATCCTACGGCTACGATGTCTCTACGTTTCATCCCCAGGATTCTTAGGCATATCAATAATTTTTATGGTGGGGGATCACCCCCAGAGAGAAGGAACTCCTTATGAGGACTTGTAAACATATTTCTAAGTTTTAAATCGTCTCAAGACAGGCGACACTTAAAAATAAAAAATAAAGTTCGGACCTGCACCTGAAATTAAATACATGTATGTAAATTACATAAACAATTCAGCCAGCCAGTTTTGAAATCCTACGAGCCACCGAACCTCACACATACAGACAAGTATAAAATTATAAATACTACTATAGAGCCCTAGAAAATAGCAATTAAATAAACGGGACACCAATATACAGGGTGTTACAAAAGCCAAATCATGCTTGATGCAGATAAATATTTAGCAACAATGGATTTTACTCATTTTTGCAAGATGAAAAGGAAAAGCGATGTACTGGGTGATATAAAAAAAATTCAAAGTTCAAGAAGAAATACATCCGGAAACAAAAAAATGTGTGCATTATTGATCGCAAAACAAAGAAAACCTATAGACAGGGTGTGATAAAAAGAAAATTAGAACATTTAAAAAGAAAAATCAATTGTTCAAGGGAAGAAATATCAGGAAACTAGAAATTTGTCAACATTTTGTGTGGATCAAGGAAAACAAATATATAGGGTTGAAACTCTCGTTTGATTAGAAAACTGTATAATACTAATTATACAGGGTTTTACAAAAATTAAACTACACTATTAAAAAAGAAAATGTTAAATTCAAGAGAAAAAAATCAGAAAACAACAATTTTCCTAAGTTTTTTGATCTGGCAGCAAAAAGACGAAATACATAGGGCAATACAAAAAAATAGATACTTCATTTAATAATAATTTAAAAAAAAACGGAATAAAACAATATTCAAATAAACATTTTCTTGTTTTTCTAATGAAAATCAAAGAAAAGTGAAGGAGAGGCAAAACATTACGGACATTAATTAATTATCATACTACTGAACGAGTAAACGTTTTAAATGTGTAATTAATTAAGGGGCAAGCCGTGTGCAACTGTGAAACTTAGTGCAGCTAGACCGAAAAGGCATCCGACGGCACGCGGCAATTTTGAGTTAATTTAGTGCTCCCGTTACAAACGATTAAAAACCAGAATGTGATAATGATTAATAAAGTATATAAACATACCAGTGCGTCGGGTAATCCGAGAAAGATTTGAAACATAAAAAAATTAAATTACAAACAATATTATAACTTGAAATTGTTTTATATGTTTAATAATTTTAATCAGAACAAGCCCTGAATGTTTTCCTCTTTTTGACGTGCGCATTGACATGCAATTATTAGTTGTAAATAAATAATGGAGACAGTAGCTCAAAGTCGCAGAAGTGCAAGAAAAATATACAAACCACGGAGAACTCGCAAAGAAAAAACTAAATTCAAACGCAGTATATTTGAAAAGCGCAAACGCAAATATGACATTGATTATCACTATATCGAAGACGTCGAGTACCCTTCGAAGATCCAACGCTTCTTCATGGTCGTCAGCAACCCCTTCTGGTATAACTTAATATTGGGCATTACCCTGGTAGACGCCATGTTGTATACGCATTCCGCCCTCGTGGGCACTCAACGTCTAATCACCTCCAACTACAAATACCAATTGATGTTCGAAATAATTGTGACCGTTTTCAAGATCGCCGACATATCCCTGGCAATAGTCGTGGACTATATCATGAAACTTGAGTTCCACAATGAAGCACGTCGCCCAATATGGGTCTTGGGATGCGAAATCTTTGGAGCTTTACCTCTCTACCCACCGGTACCTTTGGTACTGATCAAACTTGGACATTTTATCAAATTTGTCCGATTAATGTACCACAACTACATTATGCGAGTATCTCTACGATGTCACTTTCGACAAAGAGTGTTGAATTTTGTACTCAGTCTCATTATCTGTGAAACCATCTACGCCTGGACATTATTCCACATTTCTGGGTATGAACCCTCTTGGGAGACATACATGCAATTATTTGAGGTGTCCAGTGCTTCCATGGTTGGAAAAGGAGTGATTGTTTCAAGAGCGCATCATTACACAGATAATATCTGGTTGCATGAGGTACCACTAGCGTGCGGTATCATTTTGGTGCTCTTCATCTTCCTCAAGCCTACCCTGTGTGACATAATCTGTCTCTTGACAATGCAATACGAAAACAAGTTCAAGTACATCTACAAAGTGCAGTTTTTTCAATCGGTGATTATTTCAAAATACAATTGCAACCATGTAGTTGTCCAGTCAATTCTGACATATCTAAGAAACTATTGGGAAGAACGACAGGGATGTATGAACACCCCTGATAAACAAGAAGCAGTCGCCTGGATATTTCCTCGAGCACTGATCATGGAAATGGCTTTGGATACCTCCTACGATTTCTTCAGACATTCACAAATTCTACGAGACCTAGAAATACCCTTGATGCGCAATCTTTCATTACGAATCAAAAATCAAATCTTCATGAAAGGTGAATACGTTTTCAACAAACGGAAAATAATTGACTACATGATCTATATAAAAAGTGGGGTTATTGATATCCTGTCATCAGAGAATGGCGAATCTGGTATCATCTCATTTTCTGCTGGAACCATCCTAGGTGAGACCGCATTATTTTACCCTTCAAAATCACAAGTCAACATACGCTGTCAATGTGTATGTCATATCTTCAAACTAACAAGACGAGACTTTACGTTTCTCATTAGACACTACCCGTATGCCTATCACGATATGTTAAAAATCATTAACAGTCGTTTGAACATTGCAAAGCGTGTTCAACGTACCAAACTTGAACAAACAGACTCGCGCGTTTCGGAAGAACAAATCGTATGGCTCAAAGCACAGTTACACAATTACAAAGCAGCGAATCCTGCCTTGAAAGAATTCCATCTTATGAAAAACATATACCTTGGACCCTTTCTGACTGGTCTACTAAAGAAACAGAACTCGTTGTGTCATACGCTGCGTTGTTTAGAATTGCTCTCGATCAAAAGAAGACTTGACATAGCTACGGATTTGGTCTTTATCCGCTCTAAATGCATTTGGATTTTAAAGCATAACTCCCCGATCTATCACGCTTGGCATTTCATTATTGCATTCCTCGCTTTCATAATGCTTCTTCTTCAACCCTATGTGGTTTTTAATGAAGGCAATATTATATTGAATGTTATTATTGCCGTGGTCAATTTAGTCTTTTTCGTGGACCTATTGCTTACATTTATAACACCCGCATCGAAAAAATCTAAATCTGTAACTTTGCATGAGATATTCGGGGAACGTTTCAATACAATTGGAGTGTATTTAGATATCTGTTCAATTTTTCACTTTCCTCTCTTCGGTCACGTGTTTCCGTTTGCTAATGAAAAATGGGTGTTCATATTTCATACGGTGAAGCTATGGAAAATCTATCGGGTCCTGAATAAATGGGAAGACCGTTTTCACTTGAATCTTCTACTTCAAAAGTATTGCGTGTTTATTCTCTCGCAGTTTGTCTACGTTTACACAATGGGCTATATATTAACGCTGGATGATATCATATCAACACCTCTTGATCCGGTTGGTATACAGATCTCTACCGGTGTGGGTTTTAAAGTAAAAAGCGGGTTGATGAAGGTGACTATTTTGTATGCACTGCTGAATACATTCGCAGCGGTTTTTGAAGGATTAGGAATTGTCAGTGTAACAACCGCAAATTACATGAAGTATGTCCGTCCTAGTCGGATTTACAGATCTCTGGAACGTCTTTACCACCTGAGCAAACGTAATCCAGACACACAACTCTTCAAACGACTCAATTCCTTCTTGAATACTCAAATCAACGACAATAATGCGTTTACATGTGCCTTTGACATCAACAAATTCTTCAACTTTCCACAACATTACAACGAGCTTATGAAAACCGACATTTATGCAAACGCATTGCTGAATTTGGAGCTTTTCCAACTTGTTCCAAAAGAAGTTATCAAGCGTGTGTCATCCACAGCACATACACATATTTTTCATCAACATTCACTGGTGATGAGCTATGGAACCAGATACGATATGATTTATATTTTAATCAGAGGCGAAGCTCGTTCAGTTTATGGTGAGAAATTCTACAAGACAAAGGAAGGTGTTCCAATGAACGTAATCGAAGTCCTCTTTCAAATGCCCAGCTGTTCTAATGTGGTGGCTGTTACAGAAGTAGAAATCGTCAGTTTTTGTTATTCTACATTCCTAACATATCTCGCCAGCTATAAGGGTCAAGTGACAGCCATGAAGAAGGCGATTGCAGCAAACAAAGCCGATGTTGTCGCTTGTATCAACCCTATTCAGAATGGAAAACAAATGGTCATTGAGACTTTACAGCGTGACTCTAATCTAGATTCATTTGTCAGCTTTAGTACAAAACATGTTTATGAAGATTCTTTTGAAGAATTCGACTACTATTCACCATTCGATCAAAGTCGCTGGGGAATTATACTGAAGTATTTTCTTATGAAAAGTACGATTTTACCAAATGGTCGATTCCTGTTTTGGTGGGAAGTTGTACGCTGCATATTTGCTTACATTACTTGCATTGTTTTCTTTATACCACCGATAAGTCTACGTGAAATTACGCATCCTTTTACATATTTTCTGATATTCTTGGATTGCACTGCTTTCGCTGATATATATTTAAGGCTACATGTTTGTTATTACAGTACGAATGGTTTAATCGTCACACATCCACTGCATACAGCAATGAATTACATCAAAAAAGCGTTTATGGTGGACTTCCTAGCATCGTTTCCGTTTTATCTCGTTTTATACACCAGTCCTCAGTATAAAATCATCGCAAATGTGTTACACGTACTTCAAATTTATCGCCTTATTGGCTTCAAGCTGCATTACTTCTGCACTTCGTACATGTTTGATTATGGTTTTATTTTATTGACGATTATTTGTCCTGTCAACTTTATAACCTGCGTTATCTTTGTAATGGATTGTTACGACTGGGAAAATGAAGAAAACGTAAATATTTTCTGCAAAAACTTCAAGAAAGATTCGCCACTTGGGAATTATATTACCGTGTGCTATTTTATCATGAGCACATTGACTTGTTCCGGAACCGGAAGTGTCGTGGATTTGGAAAATGTTACCCCGTTGATTCTGCATATCATCTCCGCTTGCAGTTTTGTGTCGATTTTTGTCAGGATTTACGTGACTGCGTATTTATTTGGTAGTTACAATAAGATTTACCTGGGCAGTCATAAATTTCGTGATAAGGTACGCAGGCTGGTGACGTTTCTGCGCATGAGTCTAGTGCGTCCCTACTTACGGAAACAAATCAAGATCTACTACGAATTAAAATGGCGCTGGTTACAACGCATCAATCCGTTTCACGTCCTCAAGAATTTAAATCCTGCACTGCGTAGGGATTTAATTTATTGTCTTTATGGAATACACATTCATGAATGTACAAGCTTGAATGATATCTCAAATAGATTGGCCACGTTTTTCAAGAATGCTCTTTATGAAAGCGAAGCAATGATAATACCGAAAAATGGTTATATTCTATCTGTGAATGATATCGAATCGAATATTTATTTCCTCATAAAAGGTTCTGTTGATGTAGTCGCTGCTAATGGTACAGTTATTGAAACCATCAATGATGGCTCGATTTTGGGTAATCTGGAACCCGTGCCTTATACGCGGATAAAAGTGAGTTTTGTGACAAACACAGTTGCGAAACTACTGTACATGGATGCCAAGAAGTTTTACAATACGCTTGACCAGTTTCCAGTTATAAAAAAATCATTTTGCGATATAAAAAACGTGAAATTTTATTATATTCCAAGTAAATATGTACCGAACGAGTTCCAACAAGCACAAACAGCTTGGACCGTCAAAGAACTGAAGTCCGGATATAAAAAGTACAATATTTACTTTATTTTATCATGGTTTCACTTTGTGTTCCCATGTTGCATTGGTCTCATGATGGAACTATACCAAATTGCCACTGGTGAAATGCATGTTGCCTACCTCATCACGCAATACATTTTCGATTTAATTCACTTGTCACATCAATACCTAAAGTTTACCACTCCTTATATGAATCAGGAACAAGAATTTGTCATGCATCCATTGCGGATCAAAGCCCATTCAATGGGCAAGAAGAGAATTTACTACAAGTTGTACTTTTTAAATTTACCATTTGACGTGCCACTTTTACTCTATGTGATTATGCGAGGTTATGATTTCGCCGAATGGTCAATTCCATTTTCAATCCTCAGATTGAATCGACTATCAAGATATGTCAACATTACACATATCTATTACAATGGTACCAAAAAAGTTGCATCATTTTCGCGAAAGTTTAAGATTTTTATGTTGTTCCTCCTGTTGATTTACTCTTCGCAGATTATTGCAACCATCATTGCATTTTCAGACTATAGTTACACATATTATATGGGTATGAATGAGTCACAGATTATTCGTGAGATGCCCGTTGAGATTTTGATCAACTCTCGCAGAGCCCCCTGGATGCATCGCGTTGAACTATTTGGCCGCTACTGGTTTTTCTCGCTAATGGTGCATACATTCTCTCATGATAATCTCTACTATCCGAAAGGAGACATCTTTGAAATAATGTTTATAATTATTTTTCTTTATGTCACTGTGTTTGAATCGTTTGTGATGGTGCAATACTATCAGATATTGATGGAGTCAACCACTTTGATCAAGATTCTATACTCAATTCGAAAATATGTTGATGTGTACTATAGTATCTCGAAATCTGCGTATGTTTTACGCGAAAGTGTTGAAGAAGCAATCAATCACTACTATTCGGTGAAGAGCGTCGCCGATGATTATATCATGATGATAGACTGTCCGAAATATCTCCGAGAAGCTGCCTTGATGAGTATCTATGGATATCTCTTTCATAAACATCCCTATTTTAGTGGATGCCATCCGGATGTTCAGCGTCAGATTATCCAATATATAAGATGTGTGGTTTATCCAATTAATGGAACTGTTGTAAGTCGGCTTGATTGCCATGATACTTTGTATTTTGTTCACACTGGTGAAGTGGCTGCGATGCAGTATGAAAATGATTGCACGTCACACGCACTTTATGTGTTTTGTAAAGGAGATTCGTTTGGATATCAAGCGGCCTTTATGAATCTACCTTATCAGTACACCTTCCGAACGATTACATTCTGTGAGATTGTCGAGTTACAATGGTCAAAATGTAAATATTTGTTGGATTTCTTTCCGATGTCTCGTGATTTCGTCAGAAAAGTTACAGATACTCATATTACGCACTATATCAAGACTTATGAACGTGATATACGCACAAGAAAAAGAAGAATGTAATTTTTTTAAAATATTTTTGATAATTATTATATCTAGTTATGAAGGTTTTCCTATAATAAAATCGATTGAAATTTAAGTTAAGTTATTCACTAGTTGTGGGCCTTGCAATCTCTTTGCGAAGAATGACAAATTTAAACGATTTACATTTTTGTCGGAGTATGTTTATTTTTTTCGTTTTAATTAAATCCGGATCGCTGCGCGGCTGAAACTTTGTTGTGACGCAGCCAATGAAATGACGAAGGTAATCTACTTTCACGCTCAACCCAAAAAAATATTGACGTGCACTTAAGCGAGCTTAGTGAGCCTTTATTTAAGCGGCAAAAAGTATTGTCTTCGTTTTTGCGACCTTAACCATTACTTAAAACATGTCTTACATCACGGACCCTTTTGAAAATGATATAATATAGTGTATTGTAATTTTTATTCATCGCAAAACAAAATATTACTTTACCAACAATTAGTGTCACTCAAAATCGTTGATATTGCACGAAAACAGGCTAAAATAGTAGAGGACACAGATATTTTTTATTGCAAAACCTTCTTTAAAAGATATTTGAAAAGTAACTTCTGCAAAAATTCTTGTGAAATAAAATTCAATCTGATTTCAATTAAACAGAAATATCTACAAAACTATTAAACGCATAACATTTGTAAATATACTATATTAAAGAGGAATTAATTGTCTACCTTTTCCATATTTGAAAATAACAATGAATTTTTTTTGAGCTTTTTAAGTGTTATGTCAAAAGCTGCTCTTTTAATTAAAAGTAAAACGTGTTTCACAAATAGAAAATAAGAAAAGAGGAACTGAATTCAAAACGAAAGGATATGTGGCAATATAATGAACAATTATTAAGTTATTCCCGCTGGTTGTAAACTCAAGTAAACTTGTATTACGAAGAAAACGCCGCAGAAAAAGTCGAAAGTAAAAAGATACACTACCGAAGAATCGAAGCATTCTTATGACGCGAAGAAAGGATGTTGCGAAACATGGACATTCGCTCTTGTTTTGATTGTGCGCGGTTTTTTTCTTTAATTTTGTCTTCTTTCGCCAATATTACGAGTCATTAAATTTGCTAATTACATTAAATGCTAAGCAGAACAAAAAAATATACGCAACGCAACAACAAAACGCGAAATTATTTTAATTTAATATTGATCTCTGACATAAGTTTTAATAAGTTTTAATCAAAGCAGATTAAATTAGATTATTGTACATTTGTGTGATTGACTATTGTGTTGTTTCGTATTCGATCCGAGACTTGATTCGTAAATTAGAAACGTTTGTGGTACGTGGTCGAAATTGAAATTAGGAATTAAGTCAATAGCAATTAGTTTTCGACGGCATGTAGATCACTTGTTTAGCAACGAATCGATTAGACTAGAAAATTTACATCTCGACTCGGCGAGTGTTTGCGTCGTTAGATTCGAATGAAATAAAAAAGAAATTTGTGCATTCGTTTTTTATAAAGGTCGAATTTTATATAACACTGGTAGCTAACGGCGGTCCGTAATGCTTGACATTCGTGATATTTATGTTTGACCACACGTTCTAATGTGTGATAATTATCTATAAATTGTTTATTTGCTTAAAGTGTTTGCGTTTGCAATATTGCGCATGCGCAACCTGCTGAGTTAAATACGCGCTAGCGCATTGATAAAATTGAAACCGTACCGTCATAAATTGCACTCGTATGTCATAGTTAAACTTTACTCAAGGCATACCAGCGTGTAATATAACAACAACGAGCTGAAACTCAATCCCAACAATCCAGTTTTTATTCGCTTTCGACTAGTAAATGCAATGTCCGTTCGGATTTATGACTGCAAGCAAATGCTTTCGAAAAAATTACCAGTTTATGATGAAAAAACGAGGAAAATCTCAATTGCGCCGACTAAACTGTTTCAATTAGGACGATAAATTGGTAATGAAGTATTAAATGTGTGAGAATACGTGATTTGTGCGCCGAGACAACTGACATGTTTGTCCATTTTTGGTCCTTCGTGCGGACAACTTTCATACGCGACGAAATTAATTAGGAACAATCAGAAAATGACAAGCGTGTGCAAAAAAATAGAGCAAATTGCATACACAGTTTCACATCTGGTGTCTGACGACAAATTTATTATGTGCATTAGGATATGAATTATTTTAACACACCGGAAATTTATTCTTTTTTACTTCCTACTTTGAAAAAATAAATGCAGATATAATTTAAAGCGACTTAAAATGTCAAAATCAAGGCTTTTAAGTTGATTGCTTGTAAAATAAATAAAAGATTTTTCTCCAAGATAAATTTCCAAATAAATTGCGCGTTACGTGATACGAGTTTCTAGCTTGTCCTATGAATAGTGCCCCAAATTCGTACGAACACACAAGGTGCGCCCAAAAAAAGTTTGCCTCGTGATTTCGATCCTCATCTGCACGCGTCGCCTTCGCTCGGTCGCCACCCGACGAATATCTAGTTTCAAATTGGCCAATTTCACGCCGCGATTGCCAAACAATCGTCTCGTAATTCTCGCGCTACGATTTACAATCCGATGTCCGATCGCGCAGACAAGTGTCGCAGCATAACTTAATCGCCGCGACACTAATTCGACGCGGGCAATTCCAATCATTTCAATTTATGAAAATTATTCAAAAAGGCAAATAAATTTCGGAGTTGGGCGTAGGCGTTATTGGTTTTGTTTTGCCAAAAATCGAGCGCGGATCGATGGCGCAATTTAATTAATGGCTGTAATTTAATTTAGAACAAAACGTAGTCCGTTTGGAATCGTAAATTAATTGCTAATTGGTTTTTGAGATCGAGCATCGAGCGTGTTTTAATGTGTTCGATGTTTAGGTAATCATGGGCTTGTGATTTTTATTTTAACTTTTAAGCGATTAATTTAATCGATAAGAATACAAAATGAGTTGGTTATTATGTGCCACACATTCTAAGATGATCTAGATGCATATCAACAGTTTTTTAAAAGAATAATTAAACTTGTCATCATTTAACTAACCTCAAACAAGAGAATTTTTAATAACACATTAGCGCTAGTGTCGCGTGTATATGAAGTTGCCTATGTTGTTTCATGAATCAAGTTACGTCAGAATGACTAAATTTATGACTAAAATATAAAAAATAGTTGAAATTATAAAAAATATTGAGTCATACTTAAAAAAACAGTAAAAGTTTTAATACTTTAATCGCGATTATAAATTTACAGCTAATTATAATATAATTTCACATTTTTCAACGAATTTTGCCCAATTTACGCCAATTTCTTTGAATTTTTTGTTTGAACTCGCAAAGTTGTGATGCTAATGAATCACACGACCAGCATGATTGCGATATGGCGTAATAACGCTCGCAAGTGATCCACAATCCACCAATTCGCTAGCTAGCGCACATAACAACCACAAGTTGTAAGTCGTATCGTTGTAAGACTTGTAACACTTTGCTCGGCGGCTGAGGCATGCGTCATAATACAAATTAAATTGGAAGCGTTCGTGTTCTCAGCTCCTCTTTGCGTGTGTCTTCGGCGTGCCGGCGACAAGAGAGACGAGATGCGCACAAGGTGAATAGAGAAAGTGAAACGCGAGCCCGCAGCGAAAATGAAAACGAAACCGAACATATCTCGTCCACCACCAACACCAACACGTTTACAACTAGTTTAATCCTCCGCATCTGAAGAATCAAGAGTTCAGAGAGCTCATGTTACTCACTCGGACGAAAATTGTATTGTAAAGCAACAGAAACAGAAAGTAATTAGTGGCTAGTTTGATGGTTGAAAAATTTGTTCAGCGCTGATATAATTAACTTCATTAATGAGACGACAAACAAAAATTAGCGCTACATGCGGTCCCCAAACCCGATTATTAATTCTTTTGCAACTTATGCCGAGCTCATATTTCGGCTAAATTATATCTCCAGCAAAGCGTGCGAATCGTGCTTCGAAAGAATCTAGCGATCAGCCAAGATTAAGATCAGAATCAATTTTCTATTCGTTTTATTTCAATTGACGACAATTATCGACGTTTAGAAATATAATTCGAGCCGAATTGAAATTTGATCCAAATTTGTGTTTAATTTTCAAGGTTCTGTTGATATGTGTTTAATTTGTTTGAATTTCTAACTAATAATTAACAAGATTACGAATTCAAGTCGATTTTGAGAGTGGATTTTCGTTTCAAGGATTCGCGCAACTTTTATTCGAAAAATCTACGCACACCTAGGGCAACAATGGTGGCAAAACACGAAATTAACTGTTTTGCACCACAAAGATTGCACAGATATTAAATAATAAATTATAGGTGTAACCGTGGTTGATGTAATTTCGTAATTTTCACATTATTTAAAGAATAATCGAAAATTTATTTGGGCGTTGTAGTTATTTATTTGTTCCAGTTTAAATCGTGCTCAATGTACGTGGGATTAAATTCCGAATAAAGGAAATGATTAATTGACATTCGACTATCGCCCGAACTGCAACATTATAGAATTCGTGTTGATTCCGGTGATTAGGAACAAAAACGACACCAAACACATTTCGTCCTTGTAAATGCTGATAATTATTATCGTAAAAAATGACATTTAAACACAACAATCACAACTTGCACAACATGCATCAAAGTTTCACTGGCATTCATAAGCGTTAAGCACAGACTGAACACTTTTAAACATTTAGTTTAGTTTACGTAATACTAAGCAGCGTGTCAATGTTAGCGATTATGTTTGGTGTTAATGAAATGAAAACGAGCCACGCCTCGATTTGGTCGAGATTTTTTATTTTCGTCATTTTTTATTCTTAAGCAATCAATTGCTAATCACATCGACGAATGTCAATTGCCATCCTGTTCGGCCGGTGCAATATTTATGACAGATTAATATATGCAATTAAATTCAGCACGGATTTTCGCGAGCGTTTTTTTTTATTGGTTTTAGCTTGCGGATAAAGTGTTGCAATTGCATCTTAATATGTATATGCGTATATGATTGCAGAATAATTGAATAGCTTTAAAATATCAATAGTATTTAATGAAATTAATGTCTCATTATCAACGTTGAAACCTTGTGATACAATTTTTTT